GCTGTGCTGGTGTGTCCTCGGTGACGCATTTCATGCCTCCATCACCTGCGTTAGCAGTCCTAGGCTCTAGGCCCTTCCACCCTGCTGCGTCCCTCTAGCCCCTCTACATCCGACTACCCTTCTCTAGGCCTGCTGGCCCAATCTGCTCCTATTCTCCAGTTTTACCCCCATCTCCCCTGAAACGAGCTTGCATAGCCACTTCTCCTCCCTCTCATTTCTCCCCCCCACTCTTAACACCCCCTACTCGGACAAACTCTGCCCACCTCTGCGCAACTCCGCCCAACTGTGGTTCGTTTCAGCTTGAACCGCGGTGACTCGTTGGACCGAGCAATGCTGGAGGAGAGGGATAAATACAATGACATCGTCATCATGGTGAGGAACGGGGCTTTATTTTGGTTAGGAGCAGGGCGTTATGATGGTGAGGAGAGGGGAGTCATCATGGTAGGGGCTGTGGCGGTGGTGACCGGTGGAGTGGGGGAGCTGGAAGGCGAAAGGCATGTCTTTTATCTGTTTGCTTGCTTGATTGCGTGCAGGGGTCTATGTTCCGAACATGCTATTGAGAAGCATGTGTTACTTGTAAGGTGTAACATGTTCCACGCTTGTAACTTGTTGCATGTTGTCTCGTGCAACATTGTGGTGCGTGGGCGGGCAGGACGAGTACGAGGAGGTGGAGAAGAGTGGGGGGCGCAAGGTGAAGCACCTGTTTGAATACGCGGTGAAGCACTGGGACGCCGACTTCTACTTCAAAGTCAACGACGACGTCTACCTCAGCACCAGTGAGACGCACTCCACCGCTCTGCCCTCCCACTCTCTGCCCTTCCCTGCTCTCCCATGCCCTCTGATCCTACCCCTCCCGACTTCTCTCCCTTCCCTTCCTTCCCTAACCCAGTTTACCCCCTCTTCCCCCCTTCACCCTCCCACCCCCTTCCCCCCATCTCCCCCCTCCCCCTCCCCGCCCGTTCCCCCTCCTCTCCATACCCCACCTCCTCCCCCCTTCCCCCGCCCTCCGAGAGCAGTGCAGCTGGTGTCGTTCCTGCAGCGCCTCAAGGACCGCCCGGGGCTCTACATGGGGTGCTTCAAGTCCGGGGTCGTCGTCACAGAGCCGTGAGTGGGGGTTGGGGGGGTGAGGGGGATGGCGGGGCAGAGCCGTGTTTTTTGGGGGGCTTGCAGGGTGTGGTGGGCATGGTGTGCATGGGTGGGGATGGGTGAATGGCAAGGGATGAGTGGGAGGAGGTTGAGGAGAAGCGGGGGTGGTGCTGAGGGGTGTTGTTGTTGCGGTTATGGTTACACGTTGTGCTGACGTTAAGGGCATATACAGTAAGAGATCCAACTTTCTCTACTGCAATGCTCGATTCCTACGCGTTTTGAGAATCACTCTCCGCTTTCTCCTCCTCCTACTTTTGTGCCTTTGTCTCTCCCGCTCGCTGCCCCTCCTCTCTCTCTACTCCACTGCCATCTCCCGTATCCCCTCCCATTCTTCCCCTCCACCTCCTCCCCCTCCTACGCGCAGCAATCAGCAGTGGTTTGAGCCAGAGTGGGCACGTTTTGGCGATGGAAAACAGCTAAGATTGCTCTCTACCCTCCTCCCCCTCCTTGCCATGAAACCCCCACTACCATGAATCCATGCATGCACCCTGCACTCGTGCCCATGCGCCCCTGCTGCAACTCTATGCCTTGTGCTCTTTCAAGTACTCCGCATGCCTGCTCACTGCCCTGCTTAGCTCTTGACCACCAGCCATTTTCGACCACCAAGCTTCAATCCACGCCCACCCTTAGAACTGCCTTACTGTGATGGTGATGATGCATGTGCTGGATCAACCATGGGTCATATGCCGGTGCTGCTGCTCCTGCTGCTTCTTTCCCTGCCTTCTTGTGCTTGCGAATCCGCTAGTCCTACCTCTCTCATGGCCAAGCATCCCTTGAATCTGCACTCTGTGGTTCCCCGCATTGCTTCCACTGTGCTGCTTTCGCACTGTCTCCTCTCATCTCGCACTGCCTCCTCTCATCTCGCACTGCCTCCCGGCATTGCCCCTCTGAATACTCTGCCGTGCACCATCTTTCCATGCAGGTACTTCCAGCATGCAGCAGCGCCGGTCTATGGCCTCTCTCGTGACCTCGCCCTTTTCCTTGCCTTCAACGGGTCAGCCATGCTCCTCTCTTCCCCCCCTGCTCCCCCCCTCCCCCCTCCCCCCTCGCTGCTTCTTCTTCCCTTTCGTCCCTCTTCCAGCTTGTCATTGTAGTCGTGCCACCGCCCTCCTTTTTCCTCACCCACTATTTCATGCCCGTTTTACATCTCTACACACTCTCCTCCCCGTTGCTAGCACCGCCCTGCTCTCCTCCCTACTTGCTGTCGCCCCTCCAGTAGTCTGTTAATTATATGTGTCTCTTCCATCGTCCCCACATCCTTCCAACGTCCCTTTTTGCCGTCCTTAGCCTCTGCTTCAAAGTCCTCATCTTTCCTCTGCTCTCCTCATGCCCCCTCTCCCCCCCACACCCCCTCCCCCCGCCCTCCTCCATCCCCTCTCCCCCGCGCCCTCCCCCACTTTCACTGCATGCACGGTTACCCCATGGCCAGCCCGCTGCTGCACGAGTACTCCAATGAGGACATCTCAGTGGGGTCGTGGATGCTCGGGCTGACCGCCACCCACCACAACGACCACCGCCTCTGCTGTGCTAGCCCTCCTGAAGGTCTGACTCCGCCCTCAGCCCTACTCCTCTCCTATCTCTCTCCTCTCCCGTCTCTCCCGTCTCTCACCCAGACTCTCACACATGCTCCCTTTTCACATGCTTGCAACTTGTCCCAGTTTTCCTAGTTGTAATGTGGTTGCATGTGAGGAAACCAAGCAGACACATCTTCAGACACATTTTTTCCCATATCTTCTGGTACATTTTCGGAGATATCTTCAGACACCGTCCTCGTTGCAGAGTTCTCAACCGACTGCCCTTACCCTATCGCCTCCCTTGCCCACCCTGCTTTCCCAATGCTCTCTTGGGCATCTGCTTGTGTAGAGGACTGTGGGCGGAGGAGGGAGGAGAACAAGGGTTGTGTGGCAGTGTCTGATTGGCGCTGTGGGGGGCTGTGTGAGGCAGTGAAGCGGATGAACGAGGTGCACCACCAGTGTGCCTGACTGAGGTACACTACAAGAGCCAGCACTAGTCTTGAGCTGATTCTCAGTATAAGCAGCTTGTGTGTGAATCTATAGCAGTGCAGGATAGATTTGACATGAACAGTAAGCTCAGCTCAAATTCTGTTGGTAGCTCATCGGTGATTATTCCATACCCATGGCATCTGACAAGATTCAGAGATTACTAACTTTATCAAGGACACCTTGTCAGGACAGAGTACATGCATTGCAACAATGCAAAACATATCTGCAGCACATTACTGAATCTATGAAGTGATGCACACACCTAGCCTAAATAAGGTATGCCTAATTACAATGTCAATGTCCTACGTCTCCTCATGCCCTTGCAGGGCACTGCCATGATTTATTGAGGCGTGCACGGCTGCATGCTAGCTCATATGCAGGCCACATCTTAATCTGTTTCCCTGATCATTGCCGGCTTGATGGGACAGGGATTGCGGGAGGAGGAGCAGGGGTGCGTGGCTGTCTGTGGGACTGATGCTGAGCAGGGATGCATGGAGCTGGGAAGAGAATGGGGAAGCGGTGCAGCACGGGTGCGCTTGATGGCACTTCAATGCCTTATCACGGAAATCGTCTGAGATGAGTCATTGTCATGGTCATCTGAAAGACAGACTGGTGAATCTATCGAAATTATGCGAACAAGTTGAGTGGGGCTGTCGAACTGTACCGGTGCTGTAGTTCCAACGGGGGGTTGAAACTGGACTGTGATGGAGCATGAAGCAGATGAGCGACAAGGAGCGACAAGGAGCGACAAGGAGCGAAGGCAGAGGAGAATGAGTCCAGAATCCTTTGACAGGTGGAGCGGATGATTGTGGGAAGCGAGTTTCGCTGGCAGACCGAGGTTATAAGTGGTGTTGACGTTTAAGATGCCGTAGGAGGATCTTGAAGCAATGCTTCCTGCTCCTCGCGCATCTTAGCTCGCACATAGGAGAGGCACGGCCGGCATGTCACCTCGATGGTGCACCAGCCCACGCCGATGGCGGCGACGACAGCGATGACGGACACTAGCACAGAACCCATAAGGACGTGCAGTCAGCCTATCAACCAGCAAAGACTAACTGAGAGTGTGTGAGGAAACTGGCGTAAGCCCCGACTTGCTAGAAGCAAGCAGTAAACAAATACCTAATCTCACACCATGAAGATTTTACTGTGGAAATAGCAGGGCGGCAGAGGACCAACTTCTGTGTTTCATTTCATGCTTCTCGCACATTCCTCAAATCAACCAACAAGCCGAACCAACTTGGCTGGAACACCCCAAACCAGTCTCAGCGGTACGGAAAGCCAGGGTCCTTTCAGCGAAATGTGCCACAATGTGCCACAAGCGAGAGCTGCTTCCTGATTCGGATGCCCAAGTGGCGGCTATTATCGAATCAGGAACATCCCGAGATGTAGGGCCTCATCGATTCGTCCATTGGCCTGCCGAACCGGCTTCAGCCAATTACGGAGTCGTGCCTGGAGCGATGGTGGGGCCAAAAGCTCCTCGCTCCCTGGCGGCAGGGCATGGTGGCAGACAGCGAGGCAAAAGGCAACTTTCGCAAGCACGACTCCGACAGATCCTGCAGGAAATCCGAGTCCTAGTACTTCGCATCTTTCGATGTTTCCACCGAGTATGGAAACATCAGTGGGCGATGAAGAATGACTTTGCCCGACAAGGCAGGGAGGCTGATGACGGGCAGTGGAATGGTGGTGAAATTGTGACTAGACTTTGAATGCGACCCATATTTGTGATCTTGCCACGCCAATAACGCGAGCCAATGGGAGTCCGTGAAGATTCCCTTCTGGAATGGACGAGATGACCTCGATACACGCTACAAGCATGTCCCTTCCTCGTCCAAAACCTCAACTGGGATGGCAGGTTGAGGCATAAATACATACACCCAGAAAGGTAAACAAGAGAAAGCATATAAATCGATATAGGCACACTTGCCGTTTCCTCTCGCCTTTGTCGTGGCACGACAACTGCATTTGAGGTGCTTTGCGCTTCCGCCACTTCCATCACTGCAGCCCCCACCTTCCCCCCCTCAACCCATATTTCTCCGCAACATACAGTACACCCGCGCGCTCGCCTCTCCCATGAACTCCGCCGTTTCCAGTCACCCGCTCACCTCTTCCTCCCCTCCCCTCATCACCTCAAACAGCGCATTTCTGCCCCTTGCCCCTAGCCTCCCCCCGCCTGCCCTCCCCCGCCCGCCCTTCCTCCGCGGCTCCCCTTCTCCTCCCCTCCCCGCCTCCCCGTTCGCCCTGGCTAGGTCAGGCATTTGCCCTCCCTGATCCATCACACCACATTTTAGATATATTTTGCTGCTAGAGACCAGGGATTTTCTAGGAGCCTACTGCACCACCTCTGCTGCCAGCGATCTCCTGGTTCCGCAGTCCATCTCCCGCCGTTAACGTCTCGCTTTAAACAAGGAAGCAGGGCCGGGCTATCGTGCATAGTAGTGGCCATGGCGACTGATGGCAGCGCGGGACCCCCGCCACACAGCGAGCACGATCACCTGTTTAAGCTGCTGCTTGTCGGTGACTCAGGCGTGGGCAAGAGTTGCTTGCTCTTAAGATTTACTACCGACACGTTCGACGACCTTTCCCCAACCATTGGTAGGTGCCGTTTGTCACCGCACTACATCTCTTCGGCTGATGCTTGTCGATGTGTGCTGGTGGCTCTTCCGACACTCGTGCTGTCGTCTCAGTCTAAATACGGCCTCCGTTAATCAATACCTCTCGCCTTCATTTTTCCCTTACCTATTGTTTTCCGTAGTGTCGTCGGCTGCATTTTTAGCGCGAGTGAAAACATCTATTTCGTATTTGCAGCTTCCTTCGATCTTAACCGTTGCAAGCGTACAATGTCATTTATAACTGTCGTTCGCGCTTTTTTCGTATGCCAATTTTTGGCCTCAATGCCGTCAGTTGTATCTCTCAGATCGTTTCATAATCTGTTCCGTGGTTGATGACGGGTTCCTGTCATCCCTTTCCTGGACTCTTCTTCGTTTCGATTTCCCCAGGTGTGGATTTCAAGCTTAAATCAGTGACCGTCAATGGCAAGCGGATCAAGCTAACAATATGGGATACAGGTGATCGGCAAGTTGCGAGGAGGGATGGACAATTTGCCTCCCGATCATGTCACCTGATTCCCTCACCACTAATTATTTTGTGCATCTTATGTTACACACGTGCACGTTCATGCGAACGTTCTTCAGGTAATGCTCACTCCCGCCTCCCTTGTTTGCTTCTCACTTTCTCTCTGATTCCCTGACTCCGTCACTCTCCCTCATTCTCTCCACCCGTTTCGCCATCAGCCGGTCAGGAGCGATTCCGTACGCTCACGAGCTCGTACTATCGTGGGGCTCAGGGGATCATTCTGGGTGAGACTGAGGTTGCTTTTTTTTAAGCAACTTTATTCTGTTTTTATTTTCCACTTGGCGTTAGCGGCTGATGAGCAGCAACGGCGCAGCCGATCGTGCTTTGCGGGCGAAACATGTGTTGGAATGTAGGGGAAATCGTGAGCGGCGGCGGTAGTGGCATTGTGATGAAGAGGGCGCGCTTAGGGGCCTGTGCGTCCTGTGCGATTGCAGCATGATAAGGGAGCATATCAGACGACGTTTTGAATGGTGGATTCCGCTGTCATAAATATGCTCTTTTAGTGGTATTTGAAGCTGTCGTCTCTGGCCTGTTACTACCTGTTTATTGCCAGCCAAACAGTTTTCTCATCCGGCCCTTCTCGGCTCTCTCCGCCCTTCAAACCCTCCCCGTCCTGTGCCTCCGCTTTCGTCCTCGCGCTTTTCTCCTTACACTCTCTCCGCGTCTACTGTAAGTCCCCCTCTCCCCCTCCCCCCCGCCGCTATTCTCCCTCCCACGTCCGTGCCTGCGTGCGCGGCCATGCAGTGTACGACGTGACGCGGCGAGACACGTTCACGAACCTGTCGGACGTGTGGCTGAAGGAGATCGACATGTACTCCACTGTCTCGGACTGCGTGCTCATGCTCGTCGGCAACAAGGTCGATAAGGTACCTGCCTAACTGCTCATGCTCCTCCTCTCCTCCCTCTCTCCCCCCCCCCCCCCCCGCCTTCATTTTCTTCACCCCTATCCGCCCCCTCCCCCGCCCCCTCCCCCCTCTTTCCCCCTCTTCCCCCTCATTCCTCCCCGCGCACCTCGCACATGCTGCTGCCTTTGCCCTCACTCGAATCATTTCCGTACATTGCATGCTTTCTGTGCGGCTCACGCATTCCACCCATACCGCATGCATTCCATGCATGAGATCACACGTTCCGCTTCCCTCCCTCAAGTTAACACCTGCTCTCCTACTATCCCACTCCCGCTCCCTCTCCATCTGATCCCTTGTCTCCTTGGTGTCTCCCTGGTCTCCCTTCTCGTCCCTCACCATCCTCTCCTCCTCTCTCATGGCAGGAGTCGGAGCGGCAAGTGGCCAAGGAGGAGGGCATAGCGTTTGCGCGGCAGTACGGCTCACTCTTCCTCGAGTGCTCCGCCAAGACGCGCCTCAACGTGCAACAGTGCTTCTCCGAACTAGTGCAGAAGGTAATGATAACACAAGGTGGCTAACATACAGCGCCGCCCCTCCTGCAGCAACCCGTCTCTCTGACGCTCTGTCTGAACAGACCTTACAGCACAGCTGTTTAGAGCCGAATAATGCTGTGTCCTGAACCCACCCCTCTCCCCGTCCCCTTCCTGCTCGTTCCTCCTGCTATTGTCCGTGTATCTGTCGTTGCCTCCATCAACTGTCCCATCTTCCCTTCACTACCCTGCACTTCCCCCATCTTCTATGTGCCGGCACGCCCACTCATTCCTCTCCAATCCTCCTTCCCTCCTCCCACTGTCCGTGTGTCCAGATCATAGAGACGCCCTCCCTGGTGGCCCACAACACGCATGCCACCAAAGTGCTGCGCAACTTGCAAGCAGAGTCTAACCCTGTCACTGACCCCAGTGGCAGCTGTGCATGCTGATTACGCCAGCTGCAGTCACCACAAACCATCGTTCTCACCCACAATACTGCTTGTACTGCCATGCTTACCCCTCTGCCTCTGTTTATCCCCCTCTCCACCTCCCTCTGCTGCTTCTGCTCAGCGGGCACTTCCTGTTTCTATGCCCGTTAGTCAATTTCCTGGTGTTACGTATTGTTTCAAAGGAAATTGTAGTGGAGATGTGTTGTATTAGCTTCCTATCGCTCAACAGGTCTGCTCGATTTTTTTTGGCACCACTAGGTGCAAGTGCATTATACGCTCATATGCCTCGTGCATTATATGTTGAAGTGCATTTGCAAACAAGAACCTTGCTTATACATTGTTAGAAATGTCTTTTGCATTACTCTCACAAACTGGCAGAGGATACACCACGTCCGCTCTATATCCCAAAAAAAAAAAACTTCACATTGGTTCCATCTGCAGTCATGAAACTACAGGAATACTTCAATTCACTTCTACAAGAAAGAGTGTCTTGACCATGTATTCAAAGCTTTCATTGCAGCACCCTCCGTCAGTATCTGTGCCATCCACTGAAGTACCATCCACTGTTGCACCCGCCACTGTAGCAACCTCCACTGCAGCACCCTCCACTGCAGCACCCTCCAATGTCATCCATGCCACCTGACATGGCCTGGCACAAGTGGCAATGCCGTCTATGCCCACCTTGCATGGACCAGCACCAGTGGCAGTACCATCCATGCCCACCCCGGCATGGCCTGGCACGAGTGACAAGCCATCCATGCCCACCCCAGCATGGCCTGGCATCCACCCCATGCAGTTAGCAAGGGCCAACCGTCAGTGTTGCTGGTCTTAGGACCTCCGGGTGCCCTTCCAAGGGACTGGTTCTGCCCTTCCCCACCCCCACCAGGTGACACCACTGCTGGCTAGCCAATGGTGCACCGACAGAACCAGTCCCGGTCCGGCCTGGTTTCAAATTCTCAGCGAACACCAAGGGTTCCCCCCACACTCGTGCATGGCCACCCCACATGGCACATGCCACATGCCCCCCTTCCACTCGCCACAGCCACAGCCACCATGCCTCCACCAGCCCCATCCTCTTACTCCCATGGGTGCCTGGGGGAGGAGGAAGGCACGAGAGCCAGAGGTCAGTGAGGCCAGCAATGGAAGGAAGGAAGGAACTGATTGCAAACTAAAGGCTCAAGATTGCAGAAAGCAAAGGGCGGCTCAAGACTGGAAAGCTGGCTAGAGGAATTTACCTTGGATGGCTTTGGCACTTCGACTCGGGTGTGAGACTGCGGATCAACTTGGGACTTGGGCTTGAACTTGGTGCCTGAGGCGCTTAAGCCCGGACCTGCACAGGAGGGCAGAAAACCATGGTGAGAAGAAAGTCACTGAGTGCAGGGCAGAAACGGTCAAAGACCAGCAGCAGCACAGGCAGAGGCAGAGAGGCGGTACTCACAGGTGGTTGGGGGCGGGGGTACCCCTACCAGTGCTGTCGGCAGGCACGTTCACCCAAGCTTGGAGCACAGTACAGCGGCTGCTGAATAGCGCAGAGGCTTGCAGACTTGCAGAAGAGCACAGCGGCTTAGGAAAAGTGCCTGCCAACCAAGAGGGGCCCGGAGGGGGGGAAAGGAGACTAGGGAGAGTGACTACAAATCACACGAACATGGTCGATGAAGAGAGGCATACGAAGGGCGGTGTGAGCATGCTACTGGGCTTACCACGACTCCACCAGAGCCAAGTACCAAGAGAGGAGGGACCTGAACTCACCAGAGGCACCTGAGCACCTGAGGGGCGACCTGAACCTTTCCCAACCAGACCAGAGGGGTGGCTCAAGTGGGGTGTCAGACAGTATGGTGGATGGATAACATGGAGAATAGAAATCTGGATGATAACGGGAAAGCGGATTCAAGGAGGGTGGCGCGGACTTATCTGGTCATCACGTATGGCAGCACTGGAGGCATAGCACGTTGAAGGCATGGCGCTGAAGGCTTGGCGCAGAAGCAAGTGTGCCGGGTATTGAAGAAGTGTGGGGCATGCAGGGCTTGGATTGAAGGGAGAGTACTCTAGCAGGCAATGGGGCGTCAAGAGCGCACAAGGCCTTGGCGCTCCCATGCATCTTGGGCGCGCACATGGGCATACCAGGGGACCTGCCATGAGGAGAAAGAAACCAACTCAGTACATGTTGGCGACGATAACAAATCGACTTGCAAAGCGAAAGGGGACAAGGGTCACAACGCCACAAGAGTCGTACCATGAAAGTACTTTACCGGGGTTACCTGGACGACAACAAAACGACTGTGCAAAGCGAGAGACCTCTTCGACTCATGGAGCTGCTCGTGTGGTGCCAGCCCGCTGACAGTAATCCTTAGCGCCGCCATAAAGCTTGAAAGTGCAGAAGGGCGTTCAACAGAACCTGCCAAGAGGAGCAAGAAGGGAGGTTAGTAAAACGACCGTGCAAGGATAAAGCGACTTGCAGCGCGACGGACCTCTTCGAGCCATGGAGCTGCTCCTGTGCTGCCAGCCCGCTGACAGTAATCCTTAGAGCGCCGCCATATAACTTGAAAGTGCAGAAGGGCGTGCAAGGGAACCTGCCAAGAGGAGCAAGAAGGGAGGTTAGTAAAACGACCGTGCAAGTAAAAACGACATTGCAAAGCGACAGACCTCTTGGAGTCATGGAGCTGCTCCCGTGGTGCCAGCCTGCTGACAGTAATCCTTAGCGCCACCATTAAACTTGAGATGGCAGAAGGGCGTTCAAGGGAACCTGCCAAGATGAACAAGAAGGTCGGTTAGTGACTGGTAGTATAACGAAGTAACAAACGAATTTGCAAAGCGACGAGTTGAAGGCGAGAGGGTCTGAACTCCACAAGAGCCGGAGACCAAGAAAATACCTTACCAGGGACCTGAACCGAACCTGTACCAGTACCAACCTCAACCAGGGGGGGGGGGACTCTTGTGGAGTGTGTAGGCTAATCGGTGATACTCGCAACCTTTACCTCTTCGAGTCATGGAGCTGCTCCTGTGGTGCCAGCCCGCTGACAGTAATCCTTATAGCGCCGCCATGTAACTTGAATGTGCATAAGGGCGTTCAAGCGAACCTGCCAAGAGGAGCAAGAAGGGAGGTTAGTAAAACGACCGTGCAAGTAAAAACGACCTTGCAAAGCGACAGACCTCTTGGAGTCATGGAGCTGCTCCTGTGGTGCCAGCCCACTGACAGTAAACCTTAGTGCCACCATTAAACTTGAGATGGAAGAAGAGCGTTCAAGGGAACCTGCCAAGATGAATAAGAAGGTCAGTTAGTGACTGGTAGTATAACGAAGTAAAGAACGTATTTGCAAACCGACAGAGGGAGAGGGGATGGAAGGGGGGGGAGGTCGCATCCAGCCCAAGGCACCAGCTCCTCGAAGTTGAGACTGAAAGCTATGCAGACATGCGGACGGACTGACTGACAGACAGCGACTAGCGACACGTAAGAGAGGGTTAACCCGACTTAGGGATGAGAGACTAGGAACCCCGAGGGTGGGCCTTAGGCTGGAGCGACGAGGAGCGAGTTGCATGATGCAGGAAAAATTCGAAGCATTGACGGATGAAGGTTTGAGTACTTAGCTCTGCGAAATATTGAGCAGCAGTGGAGCTCGAGCAGGATCGCAGGCTTGATCAAGGGACGATGATGGCAGCAGGCACGGATGGAGGTGGTCGTATCAGTGATAACAATGGTCGCCACGGAAGTCGTCCTGCACATCAGACTGAATCAAGCATTTAGTCAGAAACATGGCTACGAGGAAAGACGTTTCAGTGCTGCGACACACGTGAAAAAAAATGTTATAAACTTGAGTGGGTTACCTTCCATCGGAATGGCTCGTCGACGAGTATATGATAATATATCTTGGATCTTAAAATTCGACGCCAGCAATTGCATATCCTGATTATTAGATCTTCGGACTTCAAAGCTGGACAGCGATTGCACATGTTGGATTCACCTGAAAACCTATATACACGAAAACAAACGTCAGAATCGCGTTTGCCAAAAAAAAAAACAAAGATAGAATCGAAACGTGTTGAATTGACGCTTTCTTACTTGCACAGGACCGAAAAAGGTGAGTCATGGCTCGTGAGTCTGTTGCAGATTCAAGCGTGAAGGGAAGCGACTGCAATGGGTTGTCAATGGATGCGAAGACTTGCTTGACGCTCAGATGTCGAGGACGAGAATCTTGGTTGCATATCTTGCCAATCCACCTGAAAGCAAAAGAAGGAAGGTTCCGAAATTAGTGAATCACGAACCGCCGCACGAGCTGTCGAAATTAAAGAACGGAATAGTAGTAAGCGTCTCTTACTTGACAGCAGCAACAGGCGTTTGTCGTCAACGCTACATGACTGAACGGAAGCTTCAACCGTGAACAGAAGTGCGCACAGCAGCAGCAGCAGCGTCAGGTACGGTTCTCGGACAGGTTGAGGAGAAGCACCGCTGAAAATGAGCGTTCAAGTGGACTAGCGGAACCAGAAATCGGAAACTGGTTTAAAATGTGAGGGCAGGAGTGGTGAGGTAGCCAAACGAGAGTGGGGAGGAGGACCAAACGCCGTGACGATGAAAGGCGGAAGCGCGATCCGTATTGGAAAAGGGTAAACGGCGGGATAAAGAGCGGCGAAGCGTCGCTAAGATATTAATCTTTGGGATGAAATTGGGTGAGGGCAGAACGGCCAGTAAACGCGGCTGCGAATGCGGCTTGTACAGGAGGCTTTGTTTGGGCTGCCAGAGTGGCTTGCCTGATATGCGTGTAAAATGAAGAGAATGAGCAGCATAAATTCTGGGCTTGCTCGAGTATGGCGCCGAGAAGCGGAGCTGGTTGTGTCAGGAGTTGCGGTGGTGAAAGACTGGTTGGGCGAACAGACGAACTGTCGCATTCTCGTTTCGATATGTTTCGTCAACTCGCGATTCTCGTCATTCCCTGTGGAAAGATTGTGATTGGAGGACAGCTCACGGCTGCGCGCTTCCGCGTGCGCGCGACGGTGCGGCGGAGTGGTGACTGGCTATGAAGGTAAGGTTAGGTACGGTGCTGCAGAGTGGGGTGTGCTAATTTGTTGTGCACGCTGAACTAGCAGTGATGTCAGCGGGAACATGCAAGCAATCCCAGTGTTTTGTGGGTTGCATCTTACCTCGTTTTAGCTTTTTGTAAATGGCAGAACACGGCTGTATTCTCAATCATATGTCGACTTAACTAACAAGCAATTATCTATCATATTTTCAAAACTTAAGCAACAAGTCAAAACGCCTCGCTGTTGCTTCCATCAATAGTCATAAAAGCTGTAGTCGTCGACATTGTCATAGTCATCGTCATACATCTCACCCTCCCAACCACGGCGCCCCTTCCATCTGGATTCAAAACCCCCTTTGGCATTGTCACTGTATTTGCCTCCACCACCACCTCCACCGCCACCGCCACCTCCAGCGGCAGCACTTTTGCCAGTGGCATTTGCCCCAGAAGCACCAGTGTGTCGCGATGCATTGCTCTGATTGCGCCGACTGCTCCCACCACCTTGTGCCCGGTCAGTCCAGTGAGGCTGTTGCTGCTGCTGCTGGTTGGGCCGAGAGGTGGAGTGCGCTTCATGGTTGCTTCGCCTTGGCTTATCACCAGTCCCCCCTCCACGGCTCGAACCACCGGTGCGATTCCCAGCTCCCGAGTAATCCTGACGAGTAGAAAGGTCGACACCACCACGACGGCAAAGGCGTCCGATTAAGAGGCGCAAGGAAATGGGAACGGGAAACACACAGCGTACAATGAAGAGGAACAAGGAACCGGCGATGAGAAACACAAGAAAGAGATGCGGTGGCGCCAAAGGGGTGCGATTTAAGCATGGAAGCCTGCCAAAGATGCGACCAAATGACTCACGTGGCGGCGCTCCCATGTGCTCTCGTTGGCCCATCGGCTCCTGTGGGTGCTGCTGCGCCCGCCACCATATCCAAACGACGTCGCAAAGAACTCGTCTGCTGCTGCAGCAGCCGTTGCGGATGCTGCTGCTGACGAGTAGTGAGGGCGCATCTTGCGCAGCCGCTCCTCTGCATCGTACTCACCCCTCTGGAAGAGCACAGCAGAAGGGAAAACCAATGCATAAGGGTTCCGAATGAAAGCACGCAGACAGGAAAACGCCACCTAGAGCAAACCATCCTAAGGGGTTGTAGGGTGGAGAAAGGGGGACGGGAATGGGGGACGGGGCAAGTGAAAGGGGGAATGTGCAGAATGGGGGAGGGAGGGCACCTTGATTTCGTCCGAGAGCACGTTGTACGCGTGGCCAATGGCCTTGAACAGCCGGTCCGCATCGCGCTGTATCTCCTCCCCCAGCTCCCTGCTAAGCCACCCGTCTGCATCGCCCCTTCCCGGAAACAACAGCTGCGCAGCCTGCAGAGCGCACGTGGGCAGGAGCGAGGGGGGGAGGAAGCAGTGAAATTGGACGAATGGCGGCGAGCAGCCCCGCACAGGAAGTAGAAATGCAGCGGGCGAGAAAGAGAAGAGCCTGTTCAGCAGGAGGCAGGGTGCATGGTGAGCAACGAGGGAGGCAGAGCAAGAGCGGTCCACGGACAGAACCAATGGTGACAGGGTGCATGGTGCCGCCCATAGTACCTTGTCTGGGTGGTGCCTCAGGGCTGCCTTGCGGTATGCCTTCTTGACGTCTGCTGCCGTGCATGCCTGCTCCATGCCACTGCCACGCCCCGCACATGAGAAGGACAGAGCTTAAGAAAGAGAGCCGACAATGACACTGCAAGGATACTGATAGAGACGGACCAGGGGCAGACACTAACCCACATGGACTAACAGAAAGTCGTGGTAAGCCCATAAACACGAGCACGAGAAGTCGTGGTAAGCCCATAAACACGAGCACGAGAAGTTGTGGTAAGCCCATAAACACGAGCACGAGAAGTTGTGGTAAGCCCAGAAACACGAGCACGAGAAGTTGTGGTAAGCCCACAAACACGAGCACGAGAAGTTGTGGTAAGCCCATAAACACGAGCACGAGAAGTCGTGGCAAGCCCATTAACACGAGCACGAGAAGTTGTGGTAAGCCCATAAACACGAGCACGAGAAGTTGTGGTAAGCCCATAAACACAAGCACGAGAAGTTGTGGTAAGCCCATAAACACGAGCACGAGAAGTTGTGGTAAGCCCACAAACACGAGCACGAGAAGTCGTGGCAAGCCCATTAACACGAGCACGAGAAGTTGTGGCAAGCCCATAAACACGAGCACGAGAAGTTGTGGTAAGCCCATAAACACGAGCACGAGAAGTTGTGGTAAGCCCATAAACACGAGCACGAGAAGTCGTGGTAAGCCCATAAACACGAGCACGAGAAGTCGTGGTAAGCCCATAAACACGAGCACGAGAAGTTGTGGTAAGCCCATAAACACGAGCACCATGGTCATTGGATGATAAGTGGCCAAGAGAAGCGTACAGCATGAGGTAGTGGTCGGGCTGGTGCGCCTGCTGCACCTCCTTCTGCACGCGCCCTACGCGCTCCTTCACCTGCCTCTCGTCCACCACACTGCCTGCCCCACCACTAGCACCACCCCCGCTCTTCCCGCTGCTGCCCTTCCCCCCCGTGCTGCTCCCCTTGCCGTGCGTGAGCAGCAGCAGGCGGTTGAGATCCGCCAGGGAGTGCTCGTACTCCCGCACACTCTCCCACAACGTGGCGCGCCGCGAGATGGCCTGGGGACGGGAGCATCAGGCCGGTGGCAGGCAGAGAGGGAAGGCGGGCAGGGGGTGTGAGAGCGAGAGTGTGAGAGCAAAAGGGGAGTGTTGAGTTGATTGACAGGTCACCAAAGCACAGGGGGGAGACGACAAGAGCGTGCGCGTGCTCGAGTGGGGATGGGGAAGAGAGGAAGAGATGGGGGAAGAGAAGATGGGATTGCATGCTAAAACAATCGCAAAAGCTAACCAGACACACACATGCACGCACACACCTTGGCATAAGACGGGTCGAGTGCAATGGCTCTGCTGCAGTCCGCAATGGCATCGGCAATGTTCCCAGCAGCGTGGCTGGCAGCAGCGCGGTTGCAGAAGCAGACAGCTGAGAAGGGGCGCGAGGCGGCGAGCGTGGGCATGGTGATGGTGATGGCTGCGGTGTACCGCTCCACTGCCTCCTCATGCCGCCCCGCCTGAAACGCCTCGTTGCCCGCTGCCTGTGGGGACGGAAGGGGGCGAGAGAGGAGTGGGGAGAGGAGAAGAGGCGGGAAGGGGTGAAGAGAGGAGAGAAGCGCGCGGGCATGGCGATGGTTATGGCTGACGTGTACCACTCCATTGCCTCCTCGTGCCGCCCCGCCTGGAACGCCTCGTTGCCAGCTGCCTGTGGCATGGGGAGTGAGGAGAGATGGCGAGGGGCGAGGGGAGGAGAGGCGACTGAGAGGAGTGGGGCGAGGAGGAAAGGGACAGAGAGAGATCCGAGCAATGCAGGAAATGCCGCAGGCTGATGGCTGGCGTTCCCATGAATGGGAGTACAGCACACAAGCCATGTGGATCATATGAGCATGCGGTTGCCACGATCCCTACAGACAAGGCGGTGAGCAGCGGGAAAGCAAGGGGTGAGCAGCGGGCAAGCAAGGGGCGAGCAAGAGGCGAGCAGAGCACGGCGTGAGCAAGAGGCGAGCACGGGGCGAACAACGGGCGAACAACGGGCGAACAACGGGCGAGCTACGGGCGAGCAAGGGGCGAGCACGGACCTTGAGTCTGAGCATTTCCCTGATGCCCTTGGTGAGATCTGCTGGCACAGCAATATCGGGAACAGCAACCGAATACAACAATGCCGCACCACCACCAGCACCACCGCCCTTGCTACTGCCACCATCAGCAGCACCTGCACCCGCCTCAGCAGCATCCCCAGAAGGCAGTGCCAAGCCGTCAAGCCGCGCCAGCTGCTCTATTGCATCCTCCAACCGCCCCTGCCCGAACCGTGCTCGCCCCACCACTGCCCACCGCCACACCAAGTGCCCCTGCTGCCCCTTGCTGCTGCAGCTGCTACCGCCGCTGCTGCTGTTGGTAGCAGGCATGGCGGAAGGAGTGGGTGCGGCGTGGTTGCTTTCCGAAGCAGAAAACGTGCTCTCACACAGATGACACGCATCGTCGTAGCGGCTCAGCTGGTGACATATGGACGGACAGGTGGACAGACACACAGACACACACGCACACGGGCAGATGGAACGGCAGGGAGTCACATAGGAGAAATGTATTCCCACGAATACGAAGGACCGCTTGAGGAGCGAGCAGCTGATAGCTGCTGACGCGGGCCACCATGGGTGCTGTCAGTCTAGACGAATGTGAGATGGCTGAGACACATGTGAGAAATGCACCCACCAAAGAGCATGCCCACCACACATGCCCACACCACCTGCCACAGAGCCCTTCACCAGACATCCCGGCCCCCCACGTGCGCTCACCAGCAGCAGCGCGCGTGCCTTGGCGCACAGCAGCACTTCCCAGTACGGACACACCTCCGCAACCCTCTCCACCAACCCCAACGCCTCCTCCACTTCCTTCACCACCATCACCGACGCTGCTCCTGCGCCAGCTCCCCCTCCTGCCCCTCCTGCTCCTGCTGCTCCCCCACCCACTCCCACTCCCCCCATTCCCCCCACTGATCCGGACCGTGACACCCCCCCCGCTGCCCCTTCCGCTGCCACACCTGTCCCCCCCCCAGCGCCCCCTGCAGCAGCAAGTGGGGGCCATACAGTCAGCGGCACGCGCAGCAGAGTAAGGGCCTTCACCATATTCCCTTCCACCTGCTCCACCTGCTGCAGACCTTGCTCCGCCTCCATGCCCACCTTGGGATCCCCGCCTGCTGCGCCCAGCGACAATCCCAAGGGCTGCTTCAGAGAGAGGTACACCTGACGCGCCTCTGCCAGCTCGCCCAGCGCCATGTGGCAGCTGCGGATTGGGGGAGGGTGGGGAAGGGGGAAAGATAATGCCTTGTGTATCAGGGAACGCTCTCCCAAAGAAATGAAGGGACCTCGCATTCGCCGTGTCTGAGGATGCATGCCCCACACGCACCTCGCCTACAGTGGAGTCATTTTTGAGAAATCTCAAAAATGGCCCCACACGCACCTTGCCACGCCCCACCACACGCACCTCGCCACGCCCCACCACACGCACCTCGCCACGCCCCACCACACGCACCTCGCCACGCCCCACCACACGCACCTTGCCATGCGCAGCAGGACGCGCGAGAACGACCCATTGATGGCCAGCGCCGCCCGGCAGTCAGCCAGTGCCTCGCGCACGCGCCCCAGGTACTTGCGCGTGGCGGCGCGGTTGCTGTGGCACAGCATGGCGGCGTGCAGGCATGTCGGGAATGCAGCAAAGCCCGCCACAATGCTGAGCCCGCGCGAGTAGAAATCCTCTGCTCGGGCGTACTCGCCCTTGGCGTACACCTGATTGCCCCTGGGGAAGGGACGCAAGGGGAAAAGAGAGGTGGGGAAAGGGGGTGGGGGGGAGGAAGGAGAGGACGAGTGTGGATGGTGAATCAAGCAGAGCGTGGAGTGGAGGCGAGGCAGGTGATACCTGAAGAAAGAATGAGAGAGGTGGAAAGAATGAGAGAGGGCTAAAGGGAGGTGGCTTAGACAACACTTGAAAGGGAAGCAAAAGAGACGCAAGAGAAGGAGAAGCGATAACAGGAAGAGAGGAGAGAAAGTGTGAGATGCATACTTGAGCCTCCACTTCTCGCACGACTGCTCTGCGTCCTTAGCCGCTCCCTCAAGGCCTCTCCTTGTTGCTCTGTTCGTGTCTTCTCCTCCCGCTGTCCGCCCTGCCGCTGCCTCCTTCCTCACGCCACTCGTCCCACCACCAGCAGCAGCAGTTGCAGCGGAGCGATTAAATTCCGCAGCATCAGCAGTGGCCTTGGCACCGAAAGCAGCGCCAGCAGACCCACCACCAGCAGCAGCACCAGCAGGCACACGGGCAGCAGAGCCAGCACCCCCACCACCAGCTGCTCTCTCCCTCGACAGCCCCTTCCCCCTCCTGCCACCCGGCGGCGTGCGGTGGGGCGTGTGGCGAGAGTGCCTGGCGTTAACAGCAGCAGCAGGCCCCCCTGTGCCTCTACCTGACGAGGCAGCCCCTGCAACGAATCTGAACCCTGTCAGATCCTCCAATCGCACCTCTGCTGCTGTGGCCTGGGCTGCTGCTGCTCCACTTGCTCCAAACAAACCAACATCCTCAAACACCCCCCTCGCCTGCTGCTGCTCCTGCTCCTGCTGCTCTTGCTGCTGCTGCTCCTTGCCTGCCCTGTCACCATCGGGAAACGTGCCAGCATCCCCTGGCCTGGCCCTCTCCTCCCTTAGACCCATCTGCTCCAGTTTCGCCCCAACCCCGTCCACCTGACTTCCCTCACCAGCCTCCCCACCGCTCCCCCTCCTCCCACCGCTCCCACCGCTCCCACCGTGTCCTGCCGAACCTTCATTGTCTGTGGAGCCTGGCGAAATGCGGGCATCACCGGGACCAGGCGAGCAATCCATCGGGCTCGGACTACTGCCAGTCGCCCCCCCAGCAGCACCACTCCCAGTGGATTTTTTCTGGGTCCCGCCCCCACTGATTGTAGAGGATCGCACTCCAAAGGGCGTGGTGTTGAAGAGTGGTGCAAAGGGCACGCGTGTTGAGGAGGACGAGGGTGCGAGATGGGACGCGAAGGAGAAGGTGAAAGGAGAGGGGGGAGTGGGGGCAGACGCTGCACCTAAGGTAGACCCGAACTGGAAAATGGGTACAGCAGGTGCTGCTGAAGATGATGAAGAGGACCCCGATGCGGATGCGGATGCGGATGTGGATGTGGACGCGGATGCGGATGATGGACCAGGCACATCGGTGGCTGGCTCTGCTCGAAGGGGTGCTGCATCAGCCACACCAGCAGCAGTAGAATGAGCCGCTCCCCTGTCAGCAGCAGGAGGAACCATGTCAGCCACAGCATGCCCCTTGCCACTCTCAGCACCGTGACTGCTTCGCCCCTTGTGAGCACTACCATCTCCTCCCACCCTCTTGCCTGCCCGCTTCCCGAACACAAACGGCCCTGCCTCAGCAGCAGGCGCTGCTGCAGACCCGAACGAGAAAACAGCAGCACCAGCAGCGGCTGCGGCGGCAGCAGCAGAAGAATCCACAGCAGCAGTGGCTGCTGCTGCAGCTGGCAAGCCAAAGGAAGGAGCGGAGGGAGTGGCCGAGGGTGGTCTGAGAGGGAACGGCGGGCTGGGGACTGGGGCAGGAGAGGAGGCGAAGGACGTGGGAGGGGTGTGGAATGTGGGGGAGGATTTTGCAGAGAAGTGGAAGGCGGAGGAGGCGGGGGTGGAGGTGGGGGTTGAGAAGACATAGCCTGGGGTTGCGTTCTGTTGGGGGGTGGGAGGAATGGGCGCAGAGAAAGTCACTGGCGCAGGTGGAGGTGTTGCTGGCGCAGAGGGCCCAGCAGAAGCACGGGAAGCAACGGACGCCAGTCCATGAGGCTTGCTTGCCACTGCTTCAGCAGCCGCGCTCGGCCCTGACACTCCAGAGGGACCAGAGACTCCGGAGGACCCTGAGACTGCGGAGGACCCTGAGACTCCGGAGGACTCTCTGCCCAGGCGCAGGAGGAGAGAGATACCGGACGTGAGCCCATCGATATAGTGCTTGAGCTTCTCGTCTGAGCCCGGCCCCGTTGGCGGGTTCACAGGGAGACGGCTTAGATCCAGGGCAGCTAGCAGATCAGGCACTGCTGCCGCATCCTCCTCTGCTGATGCGGCTGCCACCGCTGCTGCTGCTGCTGCTGCTACAGCCGCTGCGGCCGCTGCAGCAGCTGCTTCCTCGCTTGCTGGTGCTGGCTTGTTTCCTTGGCTTTCTTCCTGCGCCACCGCGCTCCTCTGCTCCACCGCCCCATTACCAGCGCGTGCTGTTTCAACTGCCAGCTTCAAGCTCGCCAGTTGTTCATTCAGCTGTTGCTGCTGAAGCGGCGGCAGCGGCTGCTGCTGCTGCTGCTGCTGCTGCTGCTGTTGCTGGTGCTGCTGATTCGCCCCGCCCCTGCCCTCCTCTCCCCTGCCACCACCCTCTTCACCACGAGCTCCCACACTCAGCTCGTGCAGCTGGGCGGCAACACCATCCACCTGCCCCTCTGTCGCTCCGCCCTCACTCGACTCAGCCGCACGTCGTCCCACCTGCTCTGTACTTGGCTGCGCCTGCACATTAGTGCTCAAGTTGCTAATGCTGCTGCTCGTGGCGCCGCTGTTGCTGGCGCCGGCGCTGGTGACGTTGGAAGCACCGCGTGTGGTACTGGCGACACTGGCTGCTGCAGGAGCAGGGGCAGCAGGTGCAGGGGCGGAAGCAGAGGCCACAGCAGCAGTGCGATCAGCCGTCCCAGCCGGCTGCACCACCACCGCCCCTCTCACAGCCATCCTCGCCATCTCAGCTTCCACGCTTCTCACTGCAGTCGCCAGCCCACTGTCTCCAAGCTCCACCCTCGCCATCCTCTCCCCCATCGCCTGCACGCTCTCCTCTCTACTCACCCCTTCCCCACGCTCCCCCCTGACCCCCCTCTGCTCTGCTCCCTCTGACCTGTTCCCCTCGCCAGCCACCGTCTCACCAGGCCCCCCCCCAGGACTCTCGTCTGTCCGTCGCTGCGAGTCTTCCTCCAGAGTGTTCTTCTGAGAAACGCCCTCTGCAAGCCTGGCGTGCTGCCATCTCTCCCCCTCCCGTGCTGCATCAGCAGCAAGCACCTTCCCTGTGCTCTCCGTCTGATGTCCATTCCCCATATAATCCTCCCCCGCCCCACTGCCAGGTCCCTCCTGCCTCCCAAAACCCCCACTCGCGCCCCACTGCTTCAACCCAAGCCTAAGTCCCAGCCCCATGTCAGTCTCCTCATGGCCTGCCTGTGCTGCTGCTGCTGCTGCTGCTGCTGCTGCTGCTGCGCCCACTGTTACTCCTGCTGTAGCAGCCGCCGCTGCTGCTGTTAAGCCGACTGTCTCTGTCGACCCCACGCCACCTGCATTCCTTCCCCCCCGCACAGCGGCCCTCCCTGCGCCTGCCCGCCTGCCCGCCCCCGTCCCCTTCCTGCGAGATCCAGATCCAGGCGTACCAACGCGGGCCTCCTGTGCCGCCACGTGTCCCGGGGCCGCTGCTGCAAACACCACCTCAGGCAACGGAGCAAGGCGCGGGGCAGACGACGCTGCGCTTGCGTCGCTAGGCGCGGGGTCGCTACCAGCAGCATGTGAGAGACGGTGAAGGTGAAGGTGCACGGTGGGTTGGGCAGCGGACTGGACTGGGGCGGCACCAAAGACGAAGCCAGGAGAAGGCTGGGCGCCTACACTGCTACGGATATGAATGGGCTCGTCCTTCGCATAGGATGCCGCAGCAGCAGAGACGGGAAGATCAGCAGCAGCAGCAGCGGCAGGAGGAGGAGGAATAGGCGACGAAGGTTCGAGTGCCCCGCTGCCCTGCACATGCCCACCGTTTCCTGCAGGCACTGCTTGTACTCCATCCCCCGCCATGCCTGCTGCGTCCCCCGCATCTGCTGCGCTGCTCCAACCCCTTCCGCCCGCAGCAACCACGCTCACTTTTTCTTCCCCACCCCGCCCGCCACCATCCCCTGCGCCCTCTGCACCCCCCCCTGCACCCCCCACAGCTCCTGCACCCCCTGCACCCCCCGCCCTGCCCCCCACCTTCGGGCTGCGCGACTTGACTTTCTTCCCCCCGAGCCTCGCTCCCTCTGCCGCTGCCCGCGGCCTCACCGCGCCTGCTCCCGCGAACGGCGCTGCAGCTGCCGCCTGGAAGAGACCAGCGGAGGAGGTGGAGGCGGAGGAGGAAGAGAAAGAGGAGGAGGAGGAGGAAGAGGAGGAGAAGAGGGGTATGGTTCCGGGAGGGCCTGCGGAAAGGGGCGCGGAGGAGGAAAACAGAGGGGGGGTTTGAGAGGTGTGGAACAGGGGCGCGGCGAAGGGAGCCAGAGGGACGGACGGCGGGTGCGAGGCGGAGGCGGGGGGGATCAAGGGGAAGGACGTCCCGAAGAGCGGGGCTGACGAGGTGGAGGCGTGAGGGCGCGGGAGTTCGAAGAGATTGAGGGGCGGGAAGGGCGTGGTTGTGCTATCCGCAGCGGCCGAATTGCTGGTTGAAGCGGCCGCGGAAGAGGGAGAGCCAGTGGTAGCAGCAGCGGCAGTGGTCGTTGAGGGTGTGGTGGCAGAAGTGACAAACGACTGAGAAGATTCGCTTGAGCGAACAGCGTCATACGAAACATCAGCAGCGGCAGCAGCAGCAGCAGCAGTCGCCGTTGCAGCAGAGGGAGCACGCGCGGGAAACAGGCTATCTCCGAAAGAGAAACCCGCTGCTGGCGTCGCTCTGAACGCGGACCCACCCGCGAACTTGCTAGGGTTCAGCCAAGCCCATCCGTGCGCACCCGCACCACCCACCCCGCCACCTGCGGCACCCGTCACGCCGCCACCCACGCCGCCACCCACGTCACGACTCGCGCCACCAGTGCTGTCAGCAGTGAGAGCAGCAGCAGGCGGCGCACGGGGGAGCTCCGCGGAATCCGTGACCATGGGCTCGGGACTCGCAACCTTCCCCCTCCCCGCGCTGTTCCCCGCGCCTCTTCCAGCCCTCCGCCCGTGCGCGCTTCGTGACGCCCCGCCCCCCGCCAAACCCGCGGATGGCCTCGACCCCTGCGCGTGCGTCGTCGCTGTTCCACCCGTGCCGAAGCGGAACAGCGGCTCTTGCGCTGGCGCCGTGCCGCGGTCAGATCTGCTGCTCGCAGCGGTCGATGCGGGCCCCGCTGAGGACGGCACGGTGGGAGTTGACGGGAGAGTTTCGGCTGCTCGGAACACGGCGAAGGGAGAGCTGAAACCGGCGGACGGGAAGGCAGTGGGATCCCGTTGCTGCTGCTGCTGCTGCTGCTGCGACGACTGTGATCGCACGGAACGATCGGAGGTCTCCGGATCGAGATCCATGAACGACAGCCGCTTGCCGGATGACCCAGCGCCAGCAGGGAACGCGTACTCGTGTGCGTGCGCGTGTGCGTGTGCATGTGAAACGCTGGTCGCCGTTCCCACGTCGGCAACTCGGCCGGAACGCTTAGCGTGCACCATGCGACGCGGCCTGCCCGACGTGGTTTCCCCGCGGAGGCTCTGGTGAATGCTGGACGGCATGGCTGACGGCCGTCAGGATTCCGTTAGCTTTTGGGACGTCCAGCGTTCATCACTCTCCCAGCGTTAGTGTGATTTGGATCTAACCGTTGAAGCACGACGGGTCGATATGAGACGTCGAGACTTAAGACTTCCGAGAAACGATGTCAGGCGCGACCGTTGTGAAAGCAGAGCTTGAGAGAGCATGGATCACTCGTATCAGGAGCGTACGTCTATTGCGTAACAAGAATCTCTGAATCTCAAGAGCCTACGTGAAAGCCCAAGGCACGAAGTTGAGGTGTGTTGGTGGTGACGGAAAAAGGGAAGTCTGCAGGAGCAAAGAAACGGCTACCATGGCTGCGCGGGCCTTGATGCGAGGCGGGTTTCACTTCGCATCCTCCCCCGCTGTCAGCTTTCCCGCACAAACCTGTTGCAGATTCGTTACAGAGAAACTCGTCACAGTTTCATAATGTTCTCGAAACGTGCAGCGTAGGTGTGCACAAACCTGCCCGCTACATTTAGACTCCCAGATCTAAACCCATGATTGGATTACAAGATCATCCAATGTCTTCCTGCGCTGCACTTCACTTTAGGATGCCTTCGTTACATGAAAGCCATTAGTTCTGAGCATGAAAGCCAAATATAGCATAAAAAGAGTAAGCACACACAGCTGGCATCAATCCTTCAGCAGCAAGGTAGTAAACCGACTGCATGCGCATGCAGTGGGTATTGGTCCTTCAGACCCTCAGCCCATATCCACGCAGCACACAGCTTGCAAGCTTCCTGGCAGGGCTGGAGAAACAACTGTGGAGGACCGTGTAAATATAGCTACATGCCATGCCATGGCAGTACAACCTCCTGCTTGAAGGACGTTGCTGAGGCATGCTGCATGGTGCTCTACCCCCGTGGGCCAGCGATTGCTGTGCCTGTGACTGGGGGTAGAGCAAGTATGGTGATGCACAGATGTGCAAGCTTCCATACATATATAAAGCAAAAAAAAGGAAACTCTCTCTCACACACACACACACACATGCATGCACACACGGGTATGTGCGCGCACACAGAAACACACACACTGAAAACACACAACGCAAACAACACGATGCCAGATCAAACAGGGTGGTTGAAACTTGTGGCGCTTATTGTCCTGCTCAAAGCACACCTTACCCATCTCTCCTCCATGTAACTCCCTGACCCACACGCCTGTCACACCCAGCCCTCTAGCACAGCATGTGCGCACCACCACTATGGGGTCTCTCCTCCTCCCCAACAACCCCCCACAGCTGCACCACACTGTCAGTGCACTCCAAGCCTCCCACCGCCTCCTCTCCCCCCTCCATGTGCATCCCATGCTCCCCACCCCTCCCTGCAAAGCCATGGCCCTGTGCTGCCACTGCCATGCCTGGAGCAGCACCGCCAGCAGCTGCAGCGAACCCTGCTGGGCCCGACGGACGAAAGGATGGCGGGGGCATGCTGGAGTGAGGCTGGGGCGATGGAGCAAGAGGAGCATGCCACGCGTTGTAGCCGGGCTGTGGGGCTGTAACGTGCATGGCACCAGGCGGACTGGTGTGCACAGCCACAGAACCCGTCACCACAGGTCCTGCAACACAGGCGCCAGCACCACCCGCAGCAGCAGCAGCAGCAGGGTGGGGGCCAGCAGGCAGCACATTCAGCTCGGCATCACAGGGCATCATGGCAGCATCGCCAGGCGCGGAGTAGTAGTCCCCGCCCACCACGAACACGCCCTCGGAGCCGTCGGGGCACCACTCCAGCACCTCCATCTCGTTCTGCTCCATGTCCTCCGCCGTCATCAGCCCTGCGTCCGTCCACGTCACCCCGTCCTCCTCGCCCCCTCCCCCTCCCAGCGGATCATCTTCTGCCGGCCAGCCCGCATAGGAGAGCTCGTTGGGGAAGAGAGGCGGGAGGGACGCGCCCAAGCTGCCCGGCATAGGCTCGGGCTGCGCCACAAGGGGTGGCACGGACGATGGGGCAGCAGCCACACACGGCGCATAGGGAGCAGCGTCAACGGCAGCAGCAGCGGGTGCAGGAGCGAACGAGGTGGAAGCAGGAGGTCGGGAGCTCACGGGCAGGTGAGGGAGTGCCGTCGGCTGGGGGGCTGCGGGTAGCATGGCGCACTCTGGTTTGGTGGGGCTCTCCAGCCGTGGTGCCTGGCGGTTCTCCAGCGCTGCTTGCTGCGGTTGGTACCCCTGCTCGTGTGACTCGTGACGCTGATCGGAGTTGAGACGGACATCCGCGCCAAAGGACTCCCCGCCTTGCTTTACCAGAGGCTGTGTCGCTGCGTGCAACTGCTGCTGCACCTGCTGCTGCTGCTCCTGGGCGGCCTCGTGCTGCTGCATGTGCTGGCGCTGACGCTGCTGGAGTGGCTGCTCCTCCCGCTGCTGCTGCGGCTGTGAATTCTCCACGTGCTCCATCTCGCATTGCTGCTGCTGCTGCTGCTGCTGCAGCTGCAGCACCTGGAGTTCGTGCTCCTCCTCCATACTCTCCTCTGATCTGCTCGGCTGCTGCTGCCCACGCACCACGTAAGAACCCGCAGCATCCGCAACACCAGCACCAGCAGCACCAGCACCGGCAGCGCAAGCACCATCAGAGCCAGCACCAGCAGCATCAGCGACGGCAGCAGGAGGAGGCGGCCCCGTGTTAGTGACAAGGGGCACGGAGCTGTCACACACGGACTCACACTTGAGCAGAGTCGATTCAGCAGCAGCAGGGGCCGCAGCAGGGGCGGCAGCAGGGGCGGCAGCAGGGGCAGCAGGGTGATCGGCCTCGAAGACAGGAGGGAGGGGGCGGCGCTGAAGGGCAGCGAGGCCAGGGCCCACAGGGAAGCCGCCCGTTGAAGATTTCTGCTGCTGTGCCTGCTGCAACGGCACGTTTCGGCTCACCAGGCTAAGGTTCGCAGCCAGCGCCGCTCCAGCCTTCCCCTGCTCGTCCGCCTCGCCCGCCCTGTCCTTCTTGTCCGCGCTCGCTCCCTTGCCTCCCGGAACAGATTCCGCCCTGTCTTCTCCCCGTGGCGCGCTCCGCTCGTGCTCTGCTGCGCACGCTCCCCGGCCGCCCTGGCTGCCAGCGGCCGAGGCGTCGGTTGGCGCATCTCCGCCCGCCACGCTGCTCGAGGGAGCAGGGGAGCTGCCTGCCGCTGCTGCCACACGCTCTAGCCACTGCTCGGGCTGGAGTTGCTGTTGCTGCTGCTGCCTGTTGTGCTGCTGCTGCTGCTGCTGCTGCACCTGCTGCTGCTGCTTGCTGGCGTGATGGTGAGCTAGATTCGACAGGCGGTCCACCCATGCCAAGCCTTGCTGCCGCATCGCTGGCGCTACTGTGTTCACACTACCCGCCCTCGCTCCTCCCACGCTTGCCCCAGCCCCCATCTGACCGCCCGCGCCAGCTCCGCCGCTCCCGCCTGGGCCAGCGCTCCCTGCGCCAGGCGCGGAAGATGCCGCGAGTGGGGGCAGCGCGTGCATGGGAAGCGCGGGCGGCGGCAGCTGCGCGGCGGCAGGCGACTGGCAGAGCTGACGGATTCCGGCGATGTGAGACGGCTTGCCGGCAAGAGAAGGCGACAGGAACGGCGAGCCCATCACAGGACCTGAGGTGTTGCCGCCACCAACGCCACTACCACCACCGGCAACGGACAAGCCAGCAATAGTAGGGGTCAGGGTCCCGGGAACGCCGTTCACTGCGAGGACACGTGGCGCGCTGAGGCTCCTCGGCATCGACGCTCGCGCGCGCGCGATAGCGGCGGCAGTGGCGGAGGGGCCGGGGAGAACGGGCACCCTGCTGGTTGTCATGCTCTGCGACCGGGAGAGCGCGGACGGGGACGACGCCACGAACGAGCCCGGCGGACCCATGCTCATCCCCGCGCCAATCACCCCGCCCACGTGCATCCCGATGGACCCCAGTTGCGGGGGATGCGCCATCAGCCCGGGGAGCGCGCCGGGGGAGAGGTTGAGCCCCATGAGCCCGAGAATCTTCGCGCCTCTCTGCCCCACCGGCGGAATGCCGCTTGGGTGGGGCGCGGGGGCCGCGGGGAGAATCTTCCGCGGAGCGATGGGCACGAGCGCGGACTTGGCGGAGAGGCTGGGGGAAACGACCGGCGCGGGGCTGGAGGGGACGGAGGGCGTTTGCGCGGGTTGCAGGCGGGGAGTGTGCGGGGCCTGCTGTGGGAAAACGAGCGGGGAGGGGCATGGCGGGCATGCCCTTGCTGCTGCCATCAGCGCTGGCGACGGCGGACGGCACGGCGCGGATTGCGGAAGAGCGCCGCTAGAAGCCGGGAGTGATACGTTGGACGGACACGGCTGCTGCTGCTGCTGCTGCTGCTGCTGCTCGAGAGGAGCTGACACCGGGCCGTACGGGTGCGGGTGGGGCTGCGGGCGGGAGAAGGGGCTGAGGAGCTGGGGCGTGCGACTGCCCGAGCGGTGCTGGTGTGACTGTGATGGCTGCCCGTGCGACTGGTGGCCCAAGGAAGGCTGCGAGTAGCTTCTGCTAAGACGCGCCGCAGATGCAGGCGACATGCTCAGCTGCTGCTGCTGCTGCTGCTGCTGTTGGTGGTGGTGGTATTGCTGCGGCTGCTGGTTGGGCGGTACTGCAGGGCTGTTTCTGAATCCCGCCGCGGCAGCAGCAGCGACGTCGCCTCCAGAATGGGAGGGTTGTTGAGACGCTTTCGGATCCTGCAGGGCCGAGAAACAAGCGACGAGCATAGGGGTGAGCACGGATGAGACAGCAGGACATACACGCACTATATCGGCGCCATCGAAGGGGGGGATGGGGAGAAAGAAGAGTCGCCGGCAGGAGAGTCGGGGGAGTGTGGGGGCAAAGGAGGCAGAGGCGAGGCAGCAACGGGCGCAAGAGTCAGAGTCACTGTCCCCTCCAGCGACGCACCATGTGCTGGGGCGTCAGCCGCGGGCTCTTCGACGGGGTCCTCCCATCGCCACCGCCGCTGCCAGCGCTGCTCTCCCCCGCGAATCCACCGCTCGCGAACGGCCGCGCGAACGCATGCGGGCCCAGGACGGGGCTATTGCAGTTGCTCAGGCGGTGCGGGGACGGGCACCCGGCGGTCATGCGGAGCGTGCTGCTGCATGGGATGCCCGGCGACCAGTCCTGCTGCACCTCGGGCCGCTTGCGCTTGTGACTTGGCCTGCGGTATCAACAGAGGGGACGGAGCAGCCGAGAACGGGAGGTCAGAGATGCAAGAGGGAGGAGTGGTAAGATCGTCTGCGCACTCGTCGAGGGCAGGCCGTAGAATAGGAACGGAGCGAGATGGCAGCCGGATGCCTTGAACCCACCTCGCATTTCAGTCACCGGAGAGCCACTCCCGTCCCAACCCGCATCCCCCTCGCCGACTGTCACACGTTCCCGCATTTCCCCCTTGCAGACTTACCAAGACGGCGACCGGCAGAGGTTCTCTTGCTCCGGATGGTACATGCCGGCTTTCGCGCCGCGCCCATGGCTGCGCTCCTCCGCGCCTGGCGTCTGTCGCGGCGTCGTGCCGCCTGGCGCCCCTCGGCTAGCCTGCAGCGTTCGGGTCGCCGGATGCAGCGACGGCGTGCCACCAGGACTTGCGGAGGCGAAGGGCGGGAGCGGAGGCGTGTGCGGAGACATGGGGGAGAGGAAGAGCGGTTTCAGGGCGGGGGACATGGGGGGAGAGGCGGAGGGCATGTTGCTGTGCGCATCTCGCGCTTGAAGCACCTTCTGGCACAGGCTCTGGTGAAGGGAAGGGGGAAGAGGAGGTACGGCTGCAGGGGAGTTCTGCGCTGCTGCGGGGTTGGTTGGCGCGGGCAGCTTGGGAATGCGGTCCGTGAGCGAGAGAGGCGGAAAGGGCTGTGTCTGCATGGGAGAGGAGATTCGTGGTTTGGACAGCTGTGCTTCGTCCAACGGATCGCAGGAGGAGGAAGAGGGATGCACGCACCCCATTGGGGTAGATGGACCCACCATGGCTGCCATTCCGGAGCCACGAGCCCCTTATTTTTTGGATCGAAACCAGATCTGAGACAGGGAACAAATTCGGGCTACAGATTCATGTTTGCATGCACAGGGGCAATTTCTCTCAGGCATTTTACGTCATGTCCTCCCGAGGCAGAAAACCTGTTGGTCGAAGGGATGATTGGAGAGGATCTGGGGAGTTGTACAGAATGGGATGGATGTCGTTGGTCCTTCGGTTGGAGCAGGGGGATTTTGACAGTTTGGGGTGGAAGGAAGGGTGACAGGGAGGTTGCACGCTTGCAGCGGCGAGGGATGTGTAGGTTCGCCAGCAGCGCCAGGTTGCCGCGGTCGGCTTGGCCTGGCCTGTGTTGGTCGCTCTGGTAACTGCTCGTGATCGCATTGGGGGATCCTGTTTTGCTGAGCTGTCCACGCTCCACTGTGATACGCATGTGGTCAGCCTTCCTGACAAGTGCGCCCCGTCCAAGACGAGCTGCACACTGCACACATGCGCGTAGGAGGGTGGGGCGGGGGGGGGGGGGGAAGGAGGGAAAGGGGCCTTAGTTGGAGGGGAGGGAAGGGGGAGTATCTCACGCACAAGGGGGGAATGCGGAGAATGGGGGAGAGAAGGTCCGAGACACGTGGGATGGTCCGCACTACAGTGCAAGGAAGAGGGGGAAGGGGGGAAATGGAGAAAATACATGGTGACTACAGTGACGGTCATATGGTACAGTCGAGAAAATGAATTTTCTGGAGGTTGGGGAAGACGGAGAGGCTGGGTGCTCCAGCGCAACGCAAGACTGGTTTGGCGGAAAGGGGAGGAAGAATCAATGCAGGCAGAAATGCTGCCTTGGAATTGCCCTCCAATCGCGATGCGGCTGATGACTGCAATTTCTTCTAGGTCTGGCTGGGGCAATTCTGTATCGTGAACACTGTTACACCATTGTCGAGCCAAGGGTGGCTTGTGTGACATTGACTGAGTGGCTGTCTGGGGGCTGCGGTTGCGAAATCGGCGGGAAAAAGAAGTTTAAAACAGGTTCGGGAGCTGGCAAGGAAAAGATAGGGTTCAAACCATTGGCGGGAAGTTGCCAGGCTTGTTCTGCTGGCTGCATCTAACTCGTCGACGTCACCAGGAAAACGCGGGAATGGCCTTCTTTGAAATGCTTGGCCCTGAGCTGCCCAATGACTGTCAAGCTAGAGCACCATCACACATGAGACGCCCACAAAAAATGTGACACAGACATGACAGGGACTGGCTGCCCCTCGTTTACAGGTCTTGTCAGCCCCCCAGCGAGTCTTTCTTCCACCTTTTTAACCAGAAGCACAGGTGTACATGCGTGTGAAGACTACACCCAGAATGTAAACAAGACTCATGGAGCCTACACATACTGCTTTGATACCCAAAACTTGCATATGAACCAATGCTCCTCCGCATATTGACTCAATGGATTTTCGTTGCCATTTTTAACGCTTTTTATCGAAAATTTATATTAGCAAATCCATCTTCACCTCAGGTTTCATTCAGAACCTGTTCTTTGGCATGGTGCTAAAGTGTGTCTACTTTATAGCCCACTTCATACATGTTGTGATGATGGCACAGAAGTGGTGCCGTGCCTCGTTGCTTGATCTGCGGATCCCAGTCGCATCCACGGTATAAGCAACGAAGCCCCATTGCACGCCATTATTGGTGTGCCATTATTGTTGGATTCATTCTGTGCAAGCAGAAGTCTCTTGCCCTGTGGCTTCGCCAGCGGTTTGTGGCGGTGCTGGTTGCGCATTCCTCGACCCGACACGACAGTACCTTGTCCCAGTACAAATGCATGCCGCAGATGTCACATTTGCCACAATCCGTTTTCTCGTCATTCCCTAGCGTCACCATCACAACACCTCCTTCCTCTCCCCTTCTCGTCGGCAACGCCTTGGAATTCGAAAGGTAGACGCTACCCCCGCAGCGGCCGCACTGCTACCCTTAGCATCACCGTGTGGCATACACTAAGCTCCAAGGCTCCGCCCGTTCAACAAGGCTCTAATTCTGCTACACCACTTGGCAGCGTCGACATCCAGCAAAACGCGCGCAACTGCTTCCCGCACCAGTTCAAGCACCGGCTCCATCTCCCCGCCAAGATGGCCACGATGCCCCTCCTTGTCTTCGTCTCTACTCTCGCTCTCGCCCTCGCATGTAAGCCCACATACCTGTCATATCTCGCGAATCCCTATCATCGCACACGCCGTTCCCTGCGGCGGACACGTCTACCACCTTCTCTCTGATCCAGTATCTCCCGTCGTCTCCTGGTTCCTTGCTGCGTGCAGTGAGTGCGTCTCCCACATCAGCGACGGAGCGGCGGTTAGCAGAAGGCGCGGCATGCTACTGGGACAAGAATTACATGCCCGCATCGCCCACCTGCGAGCAGCCCTTCCAGTACGCCACCCCGTGCCGTTTGCAAACTGATTGTCGCTGCTCCAGCGGAACTCTCGCCGTTTTCACCATGTAAAGCAGCTGCTAGGAGTCTCTTCTCGTTCTTTAATATGTTTTTGACAACCCAGTGATTTCTTGTTCGAAAAGTATCTTCTACGGTGTTGTGCACGGCTTCCCCCCCGCGCAGGTGCGTTGTGACGCAGGTCCTCCCCGCGTCAAACGAGAAGCTGTTCAAAGGCGTGTGCGTAGACGACTCGTACAACTGTGAGAACCCCGTACCCTCAACCCGACACATAGCCGTGCTCTCACTCGCATAAATCCCATCAGTCGAAGCCGTGCTCCACGCGATGCTTGGCCGCCCATCCCTTGAAGCGCGGCTTCCATTCCCCGTATCCCCCCCCCCTCCCCACTTCCCCCACGCCTCCTTCCCCCTTCTCCCGCGCCCCCCCGGCCCCTCCCCCCTCTCTCCTCCTCCTGTCTGTGTCGTGCGCCCGCCACACCAGCGAACGACTACTGCATCTACCAGTCCGTGTCGTACGCCGTGGGCGCCACGGGCATCACCGCCAACTTCGCCTGCCCCAACTGCACCTGCTCGCGCGCCCCCGGCGCCACTCGCGCGTCGTGCGAGTGCGCGCCGGGGCCCGCGTGCCGCGTGGACGGTGTGGGGAAGGCGGTGGGCTCCGCTTGCTCCGGGCGGCAGAGCCAGTGAGTGCGCGGGTAGAGCGGTAGGGGGGTGCGGGTCAGAGCGAGAGGCAGAGCACCCGTTCTGACAACGCTTGCTGGGGTCATCGAAGAGAAGGGAGCGACCGGAGAGCACCTGCTAATGTGGTTTTATGAAAGAGTGCGAGCGCCGAGCATGTTACTTGCAGTGGCTCACCCTAAACCGTCCACCTTGCTCTGTGCATGAGTGTGTGCTTGCATTCAGGTGTGTGATCAACAGTGTCCGCAAGGGCACCAACGTGGGCACGTGCACGAGCCCTGCATGTACGCTCCTACTCTTAGCCCCAACCTTACTCTTCGCTCTCACTTGCCAGATACACACACCTACTATTGGCCTTTGATGCTGCACCGCAAAAGGGTGTCCTTCATCGTCCACATCATCCATATCCTCCATGAGCACAGCTTTACCTAACACTCTGCCTTGCTCGACCCACCTCCAGTTAGCCCTCGACTCTTGTCTCCCTTCTCCGCCTTATCCGCCTTCTCTGCGTAATACAATATCGCACGCGAATCTCCCATGCGTGGGTCCACCCACCCACCCCCCCTCTCCCCCCACCCCTCCCTTCCCCCCCCCCATTCCCTTGTTCCCCATGCGGCAGTGTCGGCGGGTCAGTGCGTGACGGCAGGGCCGGGGTGGGGCCCGATCTTCTACAGCAGCGGCATGGCATCGGGGGCCGTGAAGGCCGGTGACCTGTGCAAGCGCTGCGCGTGCAGCAGCGGCCAGTTTACCAACTGCAAGCGCATCAAGGGGTGCAAGAGTGAGTTCCCCCCCCCCCCCCCCCCCCCCTGGGACGCACGTGTCATGACTCATGAGCCTACAAGCGTCCCGGCACTACCGTTATTCCCCCTTCTTGCATGCTCTTGCCGTGTGTCGGGCCCCTTCTCTGCCCCTTCCCCCTCTTGGTCTTACCGTATCTCTCTGCTCTCCCTGTCCTCCACCCACCCCTTCCTCTCACCGTCTTTCTCCCTCCCCCCCTATTGTCGTCCCACTCTCCCATGGCGCTGTGGCATGGCAGTGTGTGTGCCGCAGGCGGGAGCAGGCGGGGTGAAAGAGCAGTGTGCGACGTGTTGCAAGGGCGCACAGGGCGACGCTAATGTGCAGGCATGCCTGGTGGCATGCGGGATGGTCAGGCTCTGATGAGGCCCGGTGATATGTGGTGACATGGACAACACCACAAGGCAGGCACACTCACAGGCCTTCTACCTCAGAGGCCAAGTGCCACACCCACATGCAATAAGGTGGTGCTCTAGCTTAGGAGCTTCGCTTGTTCTTGCTTTGCTTGGAGATAATGGCACAGGCACTAGTTACCACCTATCAATGGCATCCAGTATAGTGTATGGATGGAAGGGAAATCAAGCAACATGTTCTGCAGAAGCAGCTCCACTCAAGCCTGAGACAAACGCCTGTTTGCATCTTTTCCCGCTGCACTTCACTATCGACAAAACCACACCTGGTGTGCACAGGTCTGGTACTGAACTAGGTACGGCACATTCTCATGAAGAACAAAAAGTTGGGAACGTACAGAACTGTGGCACACTGTTACAATCGTTCACAACCTTCCAAAGCACACCTTGCAAAGCATTTTTATGTGCGAGATTCTGCTATCTACATAAGCCCTACAGCACGGAGCCTTACACATGGGTGGAGAATTTGCAGGCGCACACACAAGCACAACCTAACATCTCTAACGTGATTTCGAGCCAGAGCATCGGCTTCTGCTTCTACAGACTCTGCCGGGCTCGGCCGCACTACACCACACATCGACGGGATTCTGCCTGGTGCGGATAACCTGAGCGCTGTTGCTCTTGTAAGCACCCTATGACGCCCCTGGCTGCGCTCCTGTGGGGAAGAAGGGAGAGAGCGGTGGGTGGTGGGAATGAAAAGAGAGCTTGAGAGAGCGCTGGAGGAGGAAACACAAAGATCAGGGCGCACGAGTGTGAGCGCATCAGCAGAGGACAAGCAAGGAGGGCGAGAAACGGAGTGGCCGACGTAAGGCATGGAGGTAGAGGAAGAGACGTAAGAATTGGGTTGCAGGGGGGGGTGTACCTGAAGCAGCGACGGAGCGCCAGATGGAAGCCGCACTGCGCTCCATCACCTCCCGTGCCTCGTCAGCAGTCTGCGTGTACGTGTGTGTGTATGATGTGATGCGATGGGATGGGGGGGCAGGAGACGGAGGTGAGTGACGACAAGAAATGAAGGGGAGAGATAAACATCTGGCCACTCTCACTCACTCTCCCTTGTAAGCACCAGATTTTCACGCGGTTACCCCCTCTTCCTCCCCCCCAACGCCCTCTACCTCAACCACCACCTCCCCAGTTTCTCCCCCTCTACCTGTCCTCCCTCTCCCCCCCTTCCATCCGCGCGCCCCTCACCTCGCACTGGTCCATGAGCTGCGAGCGCTTGACATTATATCCAGGTGTGTTTTGAGTCCACTCAAAACTCACCTCACACTGGTCCATGAGCTGCGAGCGCTTGACATTATATCCAGGTGTGTTTTGAGTCCGCTCAAAACTCACCTCACACTGGTCCATGAGCTGCGAGCGCTTGACATTATATCCAGGTGTGTTTTGAGTCCGCTCAAAACTCACCTCGCACTGGTCCATGAGCTGCGAGCGCTTGGGCATGGCCCATCCCCACAGCCGCGTCGCCACATTCACGGCTCGCGACATCTGCCTCTGGTCCAACACCCCTGCCACGTGGAGAGGAAGAGGGATGCAAGTGGTGGGGTGGGGGAGAGAGGTGGCGGGTGAGACGAGACGTGGGGCACGGAGAGGCAAAGGGGATGAGAAGGAATGTGGCCATATTCACCGCTCGCGACGTATGCCGGGAGACAGCGATGCAAGTGGGACATTAGATGACAAGTGGGGGATGAGGAGGCAAGGGGAGATTAGGAGGCAAGGGGGGATGAGGAGGCAAGGGGTGTGAAAAGCAACGGGGCATGGGGTGGTGGTACGAGGAAATAGGCATGGGGGGTTTCCAAGCCTCTACACTCCCACTTCCAGGCCTCCCACTCCTGTCCTCACCCCAGCATTCACACCCACCTCGCTCCCAACCCCCTCACTCCAACCACCAGTCCCACGTCCCCCGCCACTAACACCCCTTCCCCCCTCCAAAACGCACATCCATCGGTGAGTACTAGCAGCTGCGCGACAAACGACGTGGTATTGGCGAGGGGCCACTTGCGGCTGTCGGCGGGCGAGGACGTGGCGGCAAGGCGCGCTGCCATGGCGAGGGTGAGGTCGGCCTTCTCCTCCTCCAGCGGGTAGATCACCTCCAGCAGCGCGCCCGCGGGGTCCTTGTCAGGCACGTTCACCAGGATGCCGCGCAGCCCCCAGTCAAACACGTCCAGCTGCTGCGCGTCCTGGCACGTCCCGTCCTCCTCTATGCTCTGATGTTGGGGGGGGAGGTGTAGAGGGGGAAGGTGTGGGGGGGAGACGGGAGTTGGGGTGGGAGCGAGCGAGAGGTGGTTTGGGTGAGGTGGATGTGTCACGCGTGTGCTCGTTGCTGCAGGTTGGGATTTGTCACCTGTGATGCATCAGGGACGCATGCATGCACGCATGCATGGGCTTGAGACTTCAGTTGTTTCATGCTTCTGTTGGTTACAGCCATGCCCATTCCTCAGCGCCATCCCACCAATCTCAACACACCCCCTCATCTCACCGCAGCCACCACACCCCACGAATCACCTCGCCAACTGCCCTCACGTCACAATCCACCGCATTCCCCATCCCTTACACCCCTCCCAGGCGTCTCACCTCGTAGGTGTGCATGATGGACTTGACTTGCATGCTTTCCAGCAGCACGGGCAGGTTGTGCTCCGTCTCCACCGTCTTCCCAATCCTCAGCCACACGGGCCACCCCACCGTCACCTCGGGCTGCGCCATCTGCTCCACCACCTCCACCGCCCTATCCTGCGCCGCCTCCAGCGCCTTCCCTCCCCCTGCCAGCCCCCCCGCCAAGCCCCCTGCGGCGGTCAGCCCCAGCCAGCGGTTGAGTGTGACCAGCGCACACAGCTCGCGCTCCCTCCAATCGCCCGCGCCCGCCGCCATGGCGCCTATGCCCCCTCCCAGCCCGCCCCCGCGTGTGTTCATGCGGAGGAAATTCAGAGTCACCTCGTACGCCCACGGGTGGTGCTGCTTGAGCTCGCCGTTCCTCAGCATCGCGTCTGCAAACTCCGCTATGTACGACGACGGCCGCACGCCCCCCGCGCCCGTGGCTTCCACGTTGGCTATGTGCGCGTTCTTCACAGCCGTGGCCAGGCGGGCGAAGCGCGCATTGATGGACTCCGCCCCGCTCCCCAGAAACACCATCCGGATCACGTGGTCGAACCCGTCGGTGGTGAGACGCCCTGACGCCACAGCGCGCAGGCACACGTGGAAGGCCGCTTCTTCTAGCCCGATGTGCTCGTAGTGCAGAGCCAGGGAGATGAGGTCCCCGGGGTGGAGGTAGTGCAGCTCGCGCATCTCAGCCGCCAGGTTCATGGCGAGGAGGCCTGGGCCCAGCCCCAGCGAGTCGTACAGACGGTCGATCTCCTCGCAGCGCTCCACTAGGTCGCTGTGCTTGGCGCGCGCTATGCCCTCTGCTAACGCCACCTCTGCCAGGCTGGACAGGCGGATGGGGCACCAGGGCTTGCGCCCCACCGACCTCACTGATAGAAGCTCCCCGTCTGCACCTGTTAGGGCTCCGACCCCTGCTCCGCCTCCTCCCCCCGCTGCTGCCGCTGCTGCGGCTGCCGATGCTGCTCGTCTGCTGGCGGCGGCGGCCCCGCCTGACTTCTCGTACTGTGATGAGAGCACGGCTCTTAGGCATGCCATCACGAACGCACGGCATGCAGGCAGGTTCGCCGGCGCCCGCGCCGCCCCTGCCATCCCCATCCCCATCCCCATGGGTCCCACTGCGAAACTCGGCACTGGTGGCAGCTCAGAGACAGGTGGCGAGCTCACATTGGACGGGGGGGCAGGTGGGGGAGTGGGTTCAGGAGGGGGGGGAGCGGGGAGGGCGGCAACGGAGGAGGAGCCGATACCAAAGAACGGAGTGGACGGGCGGGTGAAGTTGGCAGTGAACGCAAGGAGGCCGCCCCCTGACTTCTTCTGCGGCTGTGCCGGAGCAGCCGCCGCTGCCTCATGCGCTGCTGCCCCTCCCTGCTGCTGCTGCTGCGCCGGCTGCACTGCTGCTACTGCCGCTGCTGCTGAGGCGCTGAACGCGGAGCCGAGACCACTGAAGGACGTGGGGATGGGTCCTGTCTGCTCCGGCGCCCCCCCCGCCGCAAAGCTCTCGGACCGCCTGCGTGAGCCAGCAGGGGACGACGGCATGCTGCCCTCGTTGCCAATGCCCGCCAGATGGTGCCTCACTGAGGGGGTGATCCCCCCCCGGGCGGACCCGTGGATCCCCGAGGCGGCGGCAGTGGCAGCGGCGACCGCAGCGGCGTCGCGGTGGGGCGAGATGGTGATGCCAAGGGAGAGCAGCTCGAACTGCGCCATTCGGTCCAGCAGGCGCAGCAGGCACATGCACGCCGTCGACGGCTGCCAGCTGCTGATCGCCGCCGCCAGCCCAGCCACACGCAGAATGTCGTCGTGCTGGCACGTGGGCGGCAGCGCTTGTCCCGTTCCCAGCGCCTCAGCGACGAGGCGCGACTGGAGGCTGCCCTCAGGGCCCCACCGCTTGGGCCCGTAGGAGTGCACGTCCCCTCCCGCGCCTGTCAGCCCAGCCGCTACGCTGCTGGGTCGCCTCCCGCTGCCGTGCGCCCCCCCCCCAAGCTGCCTGCGTACCCTGCGCCTCCCCCTCCTGCCCCAAGGTCGCTGTGCGCGTACCTGCCCCTGCCGTCACCCCCCTCGTCCCTGTCCCCACGCCATGGCGAGCTGCAGGAGCTGCCAGGGAAGTCCCGCCAGGGCGAGCTGTTGGCCGACTCATTGAAGCGCAGGGGGGAGGTCCCACCCATGCTGCTCGCCCCACCACCACCCGCAACCCCGCCGCCTGGTGCTGCTGTGTCCTCCTCGTCGTCCTCCTCCTCGCCCTGCCACTTGGGGCGGTTCTCCCCCCACTGCTCCCAGTATTTGAGCCACACCGACAGCCCTGCCACGAACGCCTCCCCCACATGCACCTCGTTGAGGCGCTCGCTGCTGTCCGCCACGCCGCGGAACTTGCGCTTTACCCACTCAAACTCCCGCAGAGCCCCCGCCACCGACCAGCTGCGGTTTGTGCGCCCCACCGGCCGCAGCACCCGCACCCCCGGCCCACCCTCCGGCCACGCGCCCCCGGTGCCCCCTGCCACGGTGGTGGCCGCGCCCCTGCTGCTGCCAAACGCGGTGCTGCTGGCGGTGCTGGGGAAAGCCATGTCGTCATCGTCCATATGGTCCCCCGCGCTGGTGAGGCTCATGATGTCGTCATCATCCTGCACCGCTAGCCGCGGCAGCATGGTCTCCAAGTACTGCATGAAGAGCCACGACCAGTGGTCGCGGCACTGCTGCGCACGCACCCTCGCCGCGCCGATCGGCCCGAACTCGTGGTACACCTGCCGGGCGGCGGCCGGCATGCCGCCGCCCTGCACCTGCGCTATCTCCGGGCGGCGCAGCGTGGAGAGGGAGCGCACGTACATGAGCTCGGGGGGGCGCTCCTCCTCCTCGTGCCCCCCCCCGTCGTCCCCCTCCCCGTCCTCATCATAGTCATCGAGGAAATCCAGGTCTCTGTCGTCGTACTCGTCCTCCTCGTACTCATCCTCCTCCACATGCTCCCTGAACCGCCCCCGCCGCCCCGTCATCTGGCGCCGCGGCACCATGGGACCCACCTCGTCGCCCTCCTCCTCCTCTAGCGCATCCTCGTCCTCCAAGTCTTCCATGTCCTCGTCGTCCTCGGTCCAGTCCTCCTCATCGTCATACTCATCATCAAACTCCCCCTCCTCCTCCTCCTCCTCCTCCTCTAGTTCTTCCCCCTCCACCCCTCCAGCCACGGGTCGTCGCAGCCCCCCCGGTGGCAGTGGTGGTCTCCCCCTGCCTCTCCCGCCTCCTGCCCTCACTGCCCCACCCACCCGCCCTCTACCCGCCCCCCCAGCGGTCACTGCCGCTCCCACTCGTGCTCCTGTACCGTCAACTGCAGCAGCATCCCCCTCTAGCTCCTCCCCTTCCTCCAGCTCCTCCTCAGCGTATTCCTCGTCGTACTCCTCATCCTCATACTCACCTTCCTCCTCATACTCATCCTCGTCGTACTCCCCCTCGTATTCCTCCTCATACTCGTCCTCATACTCCCCTTCCTCATCCGTGTACTCGCCCTCCTCGTCACTATACACCTCCTCATCCTCCTCATACTCCCCTTCGTACTCCTCCTCATCCTCATCGTCATACTCATCATCAAACTCCCCCTCGCCCTCCTCATCCTCCTCGAGCTCCCCCACCTCCCCATCCCCGTCCACGCCCCGGCCTGTGCTCTTCCTCGCGGGCCCTCGGATGCCCTCCTGCCGCATCAGCAGCACCTCTGGCTCCATCTCCATCTCCATCTCCGCTCCTCCCTCCTCCCCTGCTCCATCCACCCCTCCTTCCATCCCTCCTTCCGCCCCTCCTTCCACTCCGTCCGCCTCCCCTTGCACCCCCCTGTCCTCCAGCTTGACCTCACTAACCTCATCCCCATCTCTTCTCCACTCCTCCTCCTCTGCCCCCCCCTCTCCTGCATCCCCTTTCTCCACCACACTTCCACCGTCCTCCTCGCCCTCCCCCTCGCTCTCCCCTGTACCCGTCACCTCCAGTCTGCGCCGCCCCTTCTCCTTCCCCTCTCCCCCAACTGTCACACCTCCGTCCCTCTCAACCACCACATCATATCCCTCCTCTCCCTCCTCTCCTTCCCCTCTTTCCCCTCCCTCCTCTCTGCGGTAACCGCCCTCGAAATCACCAGCCTCCCACTCCCCCTCCCCCGCCCCCTCCTCCTCCCATTCCGCCCGGTCTATCTCCCCTCTCCCTGCAATCGCCAATTCTCCATCACCCGTCATCACCTCACCCCCCCTTCCTCCCCCTCCAACCTCCATGTCCATACCACTCTCCTCGCCACACACACCCTCCTCCCCCACTCCCACCGCCACCGCCGCGGCTGCTGCATCATTCCGTGCAGCAGCCCCTTCTCTCCCCTCCTCCTCATTCCCCTCCTCCCCTTCCCCGTCCCTGCCTCCCTCCTCTTCCACGCTCTCCACCGATTCCCACTCTGTTGCATACAGATCCCCTACCTCCGCACTCTCTCTCACCCCCCTTTCCTCACCATCGCTGTCGCCATCCCCAGCATTACTCCCCTGTGGTCCCCCTCGCCCCGTGCGGCCGCGCCACCCCTCCTCGCGCCGGCACTCCTCGTCCAGGAACTGCAGCAGCAGCTGCTCCTGCTGCCGCTTCTCCTTCGCCCGCACCCCCCCACCTCTGCTCGCCTCATTCTCTCGCCCCTCCTCGAATCCTCTCCCGCTTTCCACCTGCCTCTCCTCCTCCTCGAGCTGCTCCTCCCATCGCTCCCCTTCCTCTCTATCGTCTCTCATTCTCTCCTCCTCCTCCTCTCTCTCCTTTTCCATTCTCTCTGCCTCCTTTTTCTCCATTTCCCTCCTCGCTTCCTCTTCCTCCTCCCTTTCCCTTTCCTTTCTTTCCTCCTCCTCTTTCTCCCTTACCCTTCGCTCCTCCTCCTCCCTCTCCTTTACCCTTCGCTCCTCCTCCTCCCTCTCCACCAACCTTCTCCGTTCTTCCTGTCTCTCCCTTTCCCTTCTCTCCTCCTCCTCTCTCTCCCTTTCTATTCTTTGCTCCTCTTGGACCCTTCGCTCTTCTTCAACCCTCTCTCTCTCCCTTCGTGCATCCTCCTCCTTCAACAATTCTAGTCTCTCTCTTTCTTCTCTCTCTCTTTGAAGTCTCTCTCTTTCTAGTCTCTCTGCTTCAACCCTCGCTTGCATCCTAACTTCCTCCTCTCTTCTCTCCTCCTCCAACCTAGCTCGCTCCCTGCTCTCCTCCTCGCTTTTACTGTCTGAGCCCCCTCTTTCTCTCTGCCCATCCGTTTCTCCCCCCCCCTCTGTCTCCCCCTTGTCACCCTCCTCTCTCATCTCCACATCCCTCGCACCTGCGACACCTCCTACTCCCCTCACTCCCTCCTCTGCCTTCGCCTCCCCTCTCTCCTCCCCCCCATCCACTACCATCCCCACCACCACCCCCTCCCCCTCGCCTACTCCCACAACGCCGTTGCTCTCTTCCGCGCCCTTCCTCCCATCGCCAGCAGTTGTTGAGTCAACCTCCATGGCCACAACCGCAGCAGCATCGTCACCCACACCTGCCGTAGAGGTCCCACCACCAGCAGCAGCAACCCCATCCGCATCCCCACGCCCATCCCCATGCACAGCAGCAGCCGCCTGTGCGGCCACCACCAGCATGGCCCCATCGGATACGGCCCTGCCCTGCTCCGCCAGCCGCACCCTCGCCCCCGCCTCCACCGACCCCATCCGCCTCACCCCGCCACCCCGCTTCTCCTCCACGCCCTCTCCCCCCTCACCCTCCCCTTCCCCCTCCCCCGCTTTTCTCCCCCTGTCCCTGCGCCCCATTAGCTTCGCCATGAGCCCCACATGCCCGCCCCCCTCCTCCTCGCCCTCCGCGTCCCTCTCCCGGAAGCTCCCCAGTGGCATCAGCTTGCGCGCATCTTTAAGCCGGTCCCACGGGCTCATCACATCGCCCTCCCTCTCCTTGCCGCTGCCCGGCCCCGACCGCCCCCACTGCCCTTTCTTGCGCGCTGCCAGCCGGTTACTCACGTCCAACTCGCCCACTGTGACGCACCGCCGAGCCTGCGCCAGCCGGCTCTGCACTATCGACTTCCCCACGGCCGTCCGCGCCTCTCCTGCGCCCCCGCCTCCCCCTGCTGCTGTTGCTGCTGCCTCTCCCTCTCCCTGGTGCCCGCTTCCCTGCCCGCTGCTGCCCGCGGCAGCAAACGCAGCAGCAGCAGCGGCTGCCTGGTCCCTGATAGCGGCATCAGGGTCCGTAGTGGGGTCTGCTTGCTGAGCTGTTGCAGTCGTGGTGGTGCTGCTGCTGCCGGGGCTGCCACCGCTGCCGCCGCGCCACTTGCTGGTAGTGAGCACTCTGAGCACGCCCCCTCCCACTGCCGCTGCGGCACCTGCTGCAGACGAGAAGAGCCCCGCACGCAGAGAGCCTGGGGATGGCTGGCTCGAGGGGGACGCAGCACCTGAAGCGGCACCTGAAGCGGCACCTGAAGCAGCAGCAGCAGTGGGGGAGACGATGCTAGCAGAAGTAGGGGAGATGAGGCGGGCGGAACCAGGGGAGGTGACATGCGGGGAGGTGGTGTGTGAGGTTGCTCCAGTGGGGGAAATGAGACGGGCGGAGCCAGGGGAGGTGGCATGCGGGGAGAGAGAAAGGGCTGGGGGGGCCACTAACCCCTTGAGTTGCAGCACCTTGCGCTCCTCCTCATCCACTGCGCCCACCCCCGCCAGCGATACCACAGGCACCGTTGCAGGGGGGCCTGCAAGGGGGGCAGTAGCAGCAGCAGGAGGAGCAACGGCAGCTGCTGCTGTGGTGACTGGAGCACCGGGTGCTGCTGAGTTGAGCACCAGCTGCTGCTGCTGTTGCACCTGCTCTCCCATCTCTGCTTGCTCCTTGCCTCCTGCCTCTGCTGCCTCCGTGCCTTCCCCTCCTGCACCCCTCACTCGCGCCTCATGCCCTGCCTCTCCATCCCTACCTCCCTCCGAGTTGTCTCCCTGCGTCCCGAGCGCACCAGCCACCTCTGCCTTGCCCTCCGCCTCCTCATCCATCCGGCTCCTTCCCACCCCTTCATCCACCAGCCCCATCCCCTGCTCGCCTACTTCCTCCCCTTTCTCCTCCTTGCCGCCCTTCTCTCCCTCCTCCTCTCTTTCCTTCTCTCCTCCCTCCCCTCTCACCTCCTCCTCGCCCCGCTTCCCCCTCTCCTCCCTCTCCCCTTTCTCCCCCGCCCGTCCGCTCTTCCCCGCGCCCTTCTCCCGCTCCTTGATCCGCGCCCATTCGTCCTTGCGCACTTTCCGCACCGTCCCCCTCTCCTCCTTCCCGCCCCGCCGCCCCTCTTTCTCCCTGCGCTTCTCCCCCTGCTCCTGCAGCCGCTCCACTACTCTGTCTACCATAGCACCAACCTGAAACCCCTCAAAGATATCCGCTACCGCGCCCTCCACTCCGCCTCTGCCCCTGCTTTCTGCGCTCACCCCTTCCCCTGCGTGCGGGGACGGGGGGGCAAACCCCACAAGCGCTACTGTAGTGGGGGACGCGCCAGTAGGGGTCACGGCAGTGGGAGTGACGGCAGTGGGTGTGCCAGCCGGGGGCGTGATTGGTCCGAACTCCTCGCCTGCCCGGGAAATGCTCCTCCTCCTCCTCCCTCCCCTCCCCCCTATCGGCGACCTGGCGGGTTTACCTTTCCCCCCCGCGCCACCTTCCTCCCCTGCCGCCTTTCCTCCCTCCTCCGCAACTCGCCTTGACCTGCTTCTACTGTAGCTCCGCTCCCCCACCGGCCGACTAGGGGGCGGCGTTGCGTGTCTGACCTGCGCCGTACCCGAATCACCCTCCGCCCCCGCTGATACTGCGCCCCCCTTCTCCCGGGGGGACACCCCCTCCCTGCCCTTCTCCCTCCGCCTCTCCCTCCTCTCTCCACCCTCGCTCCTCCCAAAAGACTTCCCGCGATAGGGGCTCACAGGGGTGCGCGCATCCCCCGCCCCCCCCGCACCCTCGACCGCCTGCAGCAGCTCCTCCATGCCCGACCGCGACCGCGTCCGCCTCCTCTCCCGCATGCGCCTCTGCCTCTCCCCCGCGGGGCTCGCTGCAGCGCCTCCGGGGGACTCCAGCGCGCCAGCGGCGCCTTCCCCCGCCCCCGGTCCCCTAGTGGGAGTGCCAGTCATCCTGCTGCGCGGAGTGACACTGGCGGAACCCCCTCCGCGCGCCCCTGGCGTGAGCGCCGCGTCGTCTGAGCGCAGCTGCGCCATGTCAAGCGGGGAGAGGGGGGCGCCGGGGGAAGAGCCAGAGATAAGGGCGCGCGGAGTGGTGCTGCCTGCTTCCGCGCCCGTGCTAGATGCGGCCTTCACGGCATCCTCCAGTGCGCGCGACCTCGTGCGCCCCAATCGCCGCTGACGTGGCGTAGGGGTGCCCGCCAACGCTGCTGCTGCCCCTTCTCCCCCTCCTAAACCTTGGCCCGCTGGTTCTATAGCGCCTTCCCCCCCCTCCGCTACCTCCTTGCTTCTGCCCCTTGCTTTCCCTTCCCCCTCCCCAGCCCACTCCTCTCCCCGCCCGCTTCTAGATCTAGGCCGCCCGTTCTCCCCCTCCTCCGCGCCGTCTACGCGGAAGCTCCGCGACCGCCGCCCCTCCGACCCCTTGCTATGCCGCGACCGCGCTCGCGCCTCCCCCGCTTCCCCCTCCGCGCCCTCCCCTCTGCCAGACCGTGACCGCGGGCGCGAGTCGTCCTCCCCGTGTTGCCCATGCGCGTGCTTATGGTGCGCGTGCTCGTGCGCGGACTCCCCCCCTCTCGACCGCGAGCGCGGACGCATCTCCCCTTCCGCGCCCGCCTCCCCTGTCCGCCCGCTCCTGGACCTCGGTCTATCCGCGCCGTCCCCGCCACGGAAGCTCCCCTTGTCCCTCCGCTCCCGCTCCCTCTCCCTATCCCTATCCTTATCCCTGTCTCTATCCCTATCCCTATCCCTATCCCTGTCTCTGTCTCCCACCCGGTCCCTATCCCCTTTAGAAGCAGGCGGCAGCGCGGCCTGCAGCGCGAGGGAGAGCGGCCCGTCGTCCTCCTCCACCTGCACCACCATCACCTCGCCCGTCTCCAACATAATGCGACCCGATACCGTTCTTCCCGACGCGCCCTGCCGCACCACCGTCGCCTCTAACAGCCGCGCCGGGATGGTCTTAGTCTTAATCTCCCCTCCCTCGCCTATTTCCTCCACTTCCACCTCGATCATCGTGTCTCCCGCTCCCGCTGCGGAACCAGCCCCGCCTCCGCGCCCGGACTTCTCCCCGCCCTCCCCCAATACTCCGCCTCCGCGCGCGCTGCCCCCAGTTGCGCCCCCACACTCGCCGAAATCCGCAGCGGCAGCGCCCGCCGCGCGTGACTGTAACGAGGGCGAGTCGTCCTCCGCCTTCATGCTGGAGCCCTTCACTCGGATTCGATTGCGCGCGGAATCCGGCCCACCGGGATCTTCCGGCGTCTGCGGACGCTGGGGGGTGTCTCCGCGCCCCGCGGGCGGGGGAGTGGGGGAGGGGAGGGGGTGCTTTTCCGCGGCTGACGCGGACGGCGGAGTGGTGGGGAAGTGCGCGGATAAGCGCGACTCCACCTGGCGCAGGCGCAGGAAGCTGATATCGAGGGACTTGTCGTCAGCAGGCGCGTTGCCTGCGCCCTTGTTGCCCAGCCGTCCCGCCATCATCGCGGGCGTTATCGGCCCGCTAACAGCACCGCTGCTAACCGCCCGCGCTTGCGCCCCCAGCGATTCTCCGTGCCGGCCGCTGGCACTGCTACTCAATCGCGCCGCCGCCGCCACTGCCGCACCCTGCTGCTGCTGCAGCTGCGCCGACGGGGTTGCCTTTGCGCCGCGGGAATCACGGGCGAAGCGCTTACTGCCGAGCAGCCCGCCAGTGGTGGGAGAAAGCAAGTCCCAGTCTAAGAACCCTTTCTTCTTCGCCTTGTCCCCTACCAGCGGCGACTTTACGTGCGGCGGCAGCGGCGACATCACCTCGTTCGCCGCCCCCGCGTGCGAATTCAACCCGCTGGTAACACCGTCGCTCTCCGTGCTGTGAGTGTCCGACGTTACCGACGCCGCGAGAGATGAAGACGGCGGCGATCCGAGTCCTTGAAGCGGCGCTAACCCCTGCCGCAGCTGCGACCTCCGCGCCTCTGTGGTCTTGCGCCGGTCCGCGGGGAAGGGGAAGGGGCCCGAGTAGAAGTGCTTCGGGCTTGCCGCCGGTGCTTCCGCCGCCGCCTTGCTGCTGCTGCTACTGCTGGTGGCGGCACTGCTAGTGGCGGTGCTATCTTTCTCCCGTCGCAGTCCCCCGAACTTCCACATACCTTTCTTGAACACAGACGCCACTCCTTTCATGCGAGACTCGCTCCCCGCCGGCGCCTGCCCCGCTCCGCTCACTCGCGCGTCCCCCCCCGCCCCCCCGCCGCTGCCGCTGCTCCCCCCCGGCTTGGTTTCCCCACCCGCGGGTACCAGGAGCGGAGGCGGCTTGCGGAACAGGCTCTGCGGGCGCGACTGCGCCGGCGGGTGCGGCTGCATGGAGGTTGGTAAATGCGTCTTCAAAGCCTCCGATTGCTGGCTCTGCTGCCCCTGCTGCGCCTGCTGGCCCTGCTGGCTCTGCGCTGCTCTCTTCTCACTGCCACTCCCAACCCGCCCCCCCGTCGTCTTGTCCGCTTCCTCGTCCGCCGAGCCGACCTGCAACGGCAGGCCGCCCTTGGTGTTGTACCATGACTTAAAGCCTCGGCCCCCCTCGCCGCTGCCACCGCTCCCCGACGAGTCCTGCTGCTGCTGGAATGACTTGGTTCGGGCCCACGCGTGCGGGGGAGGGGGGAGGGATGGGAGCTCGGACTGCGGCGCAGTGGCGTGCGGCGGAGGCGGAGGGTCCTTCCCCATGGCTGGCTGCTGTAACGGCTTCCTCCGAGCCACGTCCCTGGGGGGAGACGGCGGGCAGGGGAGGATGCGGAGTGGAGGGAAGGGGGTTGAGAGGAGAGGAAGGTAAGAGTTTATCCCCCAGAGGAGACACGTCCAGAGCGTGTGGGATGAAGTTCATAACAGGGTGAGGCAGTAAGCGCTAGTGACGTGGACCAGAGGCGCAACGGACGGAGGCCAAGGAGGGGCGGAAGGGATAAGGGGCGGATACGAGAAAAGGAGAACAAGGGAGAAGGGCCAGGAGCCGCACATTATCGACAGCTGCTATAGTCGAACCCTAAAATGCTCCTGATAGACATCTTAACACCACGCTGCGAATCCATCGCCATGCCTTCAACCGTACACAGGTGCCTCACACTTGCTAGTCCCAACAGTTGCAGTCTGGGACTGCTATAGGCGACTTTCACCGTGGCGGAAAGCATGCAATTCGCTATTGTCACCCCCACAACTCATCACTTTCGTATGGCTCACCCAGTCCCAGCATCATGAGCAGGAAAACGGACAGGGGTAAGGGGCGCCATCAAGTCCATACAGTACCAGCTGGGGCAGGGCCTCCCCTCCCCACCAAGGTTTCCACACACTTCCCCCGCTACCTACAGCACCGATGCGCCGTACTGTGTGGATGGGAGACCGCGGAAGGGGGGTCGCACTGTACAGTACAGTACAGTACCAACATTCCCGCTGTTTGGGGCTGCCTGGGGAAGTGGGCGAGTCGCGGTGGTTCAGTTTTGTTGCGGTTGCAGCACTCCGCCCTCCCCCCACTACAGCGGGGTGACGGGCGCAGGGGGAGGAGACGAGCACCAATGGTGGTCCACCATCATCTTCTCCCACTCCCCTTGATTTCTCTGTGGAGGGGAGGCGCAACCAAACCGCCGTCCCTGCTGCACCTGAGCCAGGAGGAGCCAAGAAACGCCACGTCGGCGATGAACCTCTTGGGGGGCGCTGGCGACTCTGCGATTGTCGCTGGGCACAGAATCGAGCACCTTTCTGTGGTAGCAAAATGCGTCGCACGGCTTGTTCTTTGTAGGGTGACGACGACGTCACACCAGACACTTCCACCTGGAACAAATAGTGGCGTGCACCGACAAACCTTGGAGGGAACCAATAGGAATCGAGGGACTAATTTCAAACAAGAACTCTCCAGGTAGTACAGTTTACAGTGAACTTTCTGCCCCCTAAGATCATGTAAAGTCTACCACATGAGAAAACATGGGAAACTACTAAATGGAATGGGAGCAATGGACTTAATGGTGAACAAATATAACCTGAATTTTAACATTTTCACCTATGAATCAGCCTCCTATATCGAAAAAGGCATGCAATATTAAAAGCCAATTCTAATGAGAATGCAGGTAAACCACATTAATAATGGTGGACACGTATGAGGTTTAGGGAGGAATATGTCAAGGTGGTTGAAGAAAACGAGAGGTGGCATAATATGGTTACATGATGCAATACAGCTTATGCGCGATACTATATAGGATCGTAACATGTCACGTCTAGTTGCTTTACAAAAATAATCCTTATAGAGGATTATCTATGCTCTAAGATATTACACCAACAATGTATCAGAATGAATAAGTAAACTAGAAAGTGTGAGTACAAGGGTATATAGACTAGGGTGTTGTACCCTCTAAGGCACAATCCAGTATAGTCTACAGTAACGACCTAAGTTACATTTGACACATCCCCTAGATTATGTAGGGGCAGTGCCTAATAGGGAAAGAAGCAACTCAGGGCGGCACTACTAAGTCACCTAAGTCAGTGAGCAAGAAGGTCAGCCAGCGGAGCTCCTGTGCCGCCATGGCACCAGCGTAGATCTCGGCCTCATAGCTGGACTGGGCAACAGATGAGGCGCGAATAGCTCTCCACGAGACGGCACCTGAACCAAGGCTGAAGTAGTAGCCCTGCGAGGACCTGAGGGTCTCGGCGTCGTCTGCCCAAGAAGCGTCTGTGTGTCCAGTAAGGACCACTGGCCTGCTGTGAGAGTACGACCCCGTTATACCACTTGTCCCTTTTCTTATTTCCTTTCTCTTTTATTTCTCTTTTTATCTCATCTCATTTGGTTTCCTATTCTCCATTTTCCATTAACCTTTGGTTTATCCTGCTATTATAATTATATCACCAACCAGGCTTGGGATGTACTGGTGCGCTATCTGGCGTAATCCTGTCGTAATCCCTTAAAGCCAATAGCATCGCGTGGCTATACGCAGGGTGATTCTATCTTCTAGAAGGGTCTATTCCTTTAGGATAGGATAAACCTGGTTACCTGATGTACTCTGGAAGTATAAAAGCGCCTTGTACTGATCGATAGTGCAACCTTTCCTCGAGTCATTCGATCCTGTGACACTTGGTAATCAGAGCTTTTCTCACTCGACCGCGCTCAACTAAGCAGCAGCGGGGATCCTGCCTCGAAAAACCGCCGGGGGCGACCAATTCGACGCCGATTCTGGTAAGCACCAGCTCCGCGTTTTTTTCGAATTACCCCCTCCGCGCGTGTTTTTGAACAGGATGGCGAACCTCGACAACGCCGAGGTTACCCAACAGCTCTTCGCGCGCATCGCAGCCCTTCAGGAGGAGATGCGAGCGGACCGCGAAGCGTGGCGAAACGAGTTCGAGCGAGTAACTCGACTCGCCGGAGCGCAGCACGACTCGACAACGGCGACGACGCAGCAGTCACAGCAGTTTCTCGAGGCTCCAAAACCGCGCCCACCTGAGCCGTTCGATCCGAGCGATCGAAACTTGACGTCCGCAGATGGATCGACGGCATGGAGATCTACTTCGCAGCTGTCGGATGGAGGTCGCCCGGCTGGGACGGTCAACGCGTACGACTCGCGGCGACACTGATGCGAGGGCCGGCACTCGAGTGGATTGGCGGCAACAGTACCTTCATCCACGGTGAAGCCACGTGGCAGCAGTTCCGCGCCGACCTGCTGAAATGATTCGAGCCGATAAATTCGAGTTTCCTTGCCCGAGAAAAAAATCATCGCCATCGACAGTTCGGGAGTGTAGCACAGTACACGCAGCAGATGGAGGAATTTTATAACCGCATTCCCGACCTGACCGAAGGGGAAAAAGTACAGTCGTACCTCGCCGGGCTGAAGACCGAAGTCAAACGGCAAGTGGCAGCGTCAAACTACGCGAGCTACAGTGACGTCGTATCGGCCGCGGAGCGCTTCGACATGGTCAACGCCGGGACACGACGGACGCACGTCGGCAGTACGCGACAGGGCGACCGCTCGGCTCACCCCACGTTCGCCGACCCGATGGAAGTCGACAGATTCGAAGGGCGGCCACGTCCGAAAAACGCCAACTACACGTGTGATTTTTGCGGGGTGCCGGGTTATCGAATCTTCGACTGCAACAAAATGAAAACCGCACGCGCAGAGTATCGGGCACGCAACAGTGGCGGAAATACTTCGGCCAATCAAAAGCAAAAAAACGGGACTCGCCAGTGATTCCGGATCTAGCTGGCGAAAAAGAAAAGATCCGGAAGCGGCCGCGGGATTCCGGGAAAAATATACTTCGACGAAGCTGATTCGACGCGAGAAGGAGGAAATGATGGGGGAAAATCTCCACCCCACGACCAGTCTTCGTCAGGGAAAATCGCCGAAGAAAAATACGACTCCGCGAAAAAAGACTCTGCCGAGACGGGGGAACTCCTTGAAGACCCGAGAAATTATAAGGATTCGTTAAAGTTATCTTATAAAGATGCTTTAATGAAAACTTATGATTTTCGAAGAGCTAGAGCCTTGGAGAAATTTCAGGAGGGACTCCAAAAGAAGCAGACAGCTGTGGAGTGTGGAAAGAAGCCGACCTTTCCACGGAGTCAACGTCCTCTCCCGACACCAGCCCACAACGACCACCCGTTCCCCAGGGAAGACGTCGGTGGAGCTGAGGCAGCTCAAGAGGAAGCTGGGGGTCTACAAGCAGCTGCACAAACCCCAAACTCCTCCTAGGGATGCATCCAGTTCTTTGGCATCAATGACGCGCATAGTCGTCAAAGAAACTCCGGGCCCTAGAGAAGAGCCGTTCTCCAAGCAGCCTCGGCCAGCTGCCAGCTCAGGAGTAGATAGCAACACAAAGGTGTGTACGGAATATTGGGATGTACCCTATGACCCAATCAATGAGACTATCTTTGGGTACTCCGAGCAACGCCTGCCCCTCGTGCTCGAGGTCATCTGCGAAGGACGACGCCTCCAAGCACTCGTGGACAGCGGAGCATCACACACCGTCTGCAACAAGGCAGTAATCGACCGACTTCGGGAAGAGTACAAGCCATCAGGATTCTCTGCAACGATGGTGGACGGCAGCAAGCTACCAGTGTACGGCGAAGCAGTGCTACACCTACAAATCGGGCCACTGCGCTGGAGACCTGCACTCCCCATCGCCAACATCAAAGGGCTTGACTTGATCTTCGGGCGGGACTTCCTGAAAAGATTCAACCCCGAGATCAACTGGATGAACTGCACCGCAAGCATCTACAACAATGGACGGAGAGTACAGCTACCCAACTGGGACGATACAGGAGATATCCCAGTGGAGACACTCGCCAGATTCGGGAAGGACGTGAAGCGAACCGATACCGGGTTCCTGGCGATAGCAACAGAGGTGGAGAATGACGGAGAGAAAGCCGCGGAACCTCCAGAAAAAATCAAGGACTTACTGAAGGAGTTCCAAGACATACTTCCTGACGATCTTCCGAACGAGCTACCGCCATACCTGTGAGAGTACGACCCCGTTACACTATTTTCCCCTTTCCATATTTCCTTTCTATTTCATTCCTCTTTTTATCCTCATTCATTTGGTCTTTATCGTATCTCATTTGGTTTCCTATTCCTCATTTTCCATTATCCTTTGGTTTATCCTGTTATTATAATTATATCACCGACCAGGCTCGGGATGTACTGGCGCGCTCTATCTAGCGTAATCCTGCCGTAATCCCTTAAAGCCAATAGCCTCGCGTGGCTATACGCAGGGTGATTCTATTTCTAGAAGGGTCTATTCCCTTTGGATAGGATAAACCTGGTTACCTTGTGTACTCTGGAAGTATAAAAGCACCTTGTACTGATTGATAGGGCAACATTGAACATTGAGCAAACCTTTCCTCGGGACATTCGATCCTGTGACACTTGGTAATCAGAGCCAAGGGTTCAGCTCAACGCTTAACCGCTGGGCCCCCAGGAGCACGCGGAGGATGGAGTCGAAACTTCAATTCCTGTAAGTACAATGCACTTTCATTTAAGTTTCGACTCACCTCTCGCAGTTGCACCTGGGGTCCCCTTCGAAGGCGAGATGCCTCGCCAACCGTTCGATGGACTGCATCGACGGTGCCGATTTTTCGCGGGGGCAAACAGCCACGACCTGGCGAGCGCGTCAATTCTGGCGGAACACTCCCTGCGACATTCGGAGAAGTTCGCAGTTCGCGACCACACTTGGAGTTGCGCGGAAATTGGCGGAGCTGCGACCGACGACATCCGTCCGATGGA